CAGCTAGTACTATAATATTTGCTTACCTACGTTCTCATTATTTAGATTTTTTCGCACTTTTGCATTTCCGTAGGAATTGAAAATACATCACATTATTATGCTATTATTTGACGTCTTGGATCGTTTTAAACAAAAAAAAAACCCGTTGTCTAACAAAATAACTATTATTTATAATTTTTTTCTTTTACTGAAAATATGTTTGCACTCTACACATAATAAACATAGACAGACATATTGCGTTGACATATAATTATGTTTACATCATATAGACGAGTTTTTCACAAAGAATAATTTGGTGAAAATAACAATAATAATATATTAACAATTAATACGTATGTAGGTGTTATACAGTGGGCCACCTTAATACTTAAGAAATGTCGAATATTAGGTTCAAAAAAAAAAACCATTAAAACTTGCTCGTATCGTTAATAGGTTTTCTTTTAATGTATTTGTTTGATTTTATTCGGAACACCTACATATAAATTGTAGAAGTATTTAAAATCAATTTTAAATTGAGTAGTGAATACGTTATGAATCGATCGATTTGATCGATCGGCCGTATTTGTATATGAATAAATAATATTTTCCGTCCAATCCAAAATATCTTTCCAAAAAGACCACGACTCAGTCTATTTGAGAGAAAAAAAAAATGATTAAATAAACTAGTCATTCAGAGAATGGACATAATGTGGTTAAAATCCGTGAAAAATTGAAGAAAAAATTACGTTTATTCAAGGGCAACTACAATCCGTGTTTCTCTAAAAAAAAAAAATATAAAACGCAAAAACTTCATGTCCGAGACGGTGAATGGAGGTCATGAAAAAAAGGCATTAGAAAAATGTGTCGAGAGCTACCTAATGACCACAGTTCACACAAATATTATAACAGTTTGTACTTTTTTCAACTTTATTGTTTAATACAAATATCAGGTAGTAAAATCGTTATGAAACTGTGGTCGTACCTCAACATAAAAACATTATTTGATAGGTACGTCGTTTTTCAGCACCACTTTGCGGATTATTCTGACCGGGGACCCGTACGTCGACGGGTCACAGGCAATATGAGCTTTTGCTTAGTCCGGAAAAACATCCGGTGACGAACGTACCGAAAGATACGAAAATATTATCGTATTAATATTAATCGCCGCGGCCGGCCGCACAAATATAAAAAAAAAAAAAACATGCGCACTAGCCGGAATATATTTTGTGGTTGTTCAATAATACTTACAATATATATAAATATCGAATGATGACACGTACGAATATAATATCGTATAGGTGCATCGCAGGCAACCTCGCGCCAGTGTCACAGACTGGGGGAGGGGCCGGGCTTCGTTCGTTGACGGGCCACGGACAATTACAAACGAAAATTGCACTGACAAAATGTCGAGTGACGTACGCATCGAAAGACACGGAAACATATAAACGTCGAGGCCGGTCGCACTAACTCGCAATTGTGTCGAACAAAAAAACACCGCGTGCGACGCCGACCGGGACAAGTGGGCAGCACACCTCGAGACAAATGCATAGCATGTATTTAGCTCGGTGAGCCAGCGACCAAACGACAAAATTACCGTCGGGACGCCTTCCGTACAACTTATTATACGATACAGGAACAATTTATATGAAGAAAAAAAAAAAAAGCTACGAAAACGAGCGACCGCTGTTGAACGGTTTGCGGTCTCGAGCGAAATGAACGATGGTGTCTGCTAGGAAGACGCCGACCGCGGAGAGCGTAGACGACCGCCAGTCCCCACCATCGCCAAAGTCGGCGACGACTCCGCACGGTGTGGCCGCGGGCGCGGGGAAAACTGGTTTGCCGCACTGACCATAATAAAATAAAAATACAAAATAAAACGTAATATTGTTACCAAAATAATAATGACGTGCATTCGTAGCGACGAACGCCGATTATTGACGAGTTGTCGTCGCCGTCTCCCTTCCCGTCACGCGACCGACGCGTACGACGACGACGCCTTGCGTCGCGGTCGAACGGGTACCCAACTAATATACGCAAAATAAACGCACAAAATGTACACCGGCAAATTATCTGGCCATGTGCGTACGATACAAAAATATTACCGCCGCGGTCGGTCACAATAGTGGTCCGGTTTTTCGCGACAAAACGTAATTATTAAATACGCAACAATGCTATTCAATACTATTGTACCCATAGACGGGTTCTGCGAGTCAATGTAAAGTAACATAATAAAATATCTACTAAAGAATGTTCGTGAAGTTGGCCCCCTCACTTCTAGCCAAAAAAATTCTAAACAAATTTTGTGTTGGGATGGACAACTTCACGGTAGCCCTCAACTTTCAGTTAGATACTCCAAGATTTTAAGGAAAATGTGTAGATAATTTGCTATAATTTGCTTTGAAAAAAATCATTATCCTTTTAAAGTATATTTATTTTTTAATATGCTTTCCTTAAATATTTTAAAACTTTTAAAAAAGCTAATTTTATATTTTTATTTTTGTTGTACCTATGATTTAAGAATTTAGAATTTGTGATTTAAAATTATTTATTTACTTACTAAAAATGACACTATGAAATCAAAGTTAATTTTTTGTATGTGTCATAAAAGTGAACCTGTTAACTTATTAACTTATTAAATATTTACTTACATATTCGTTAAAAAATATATTGTATATTATTATATTTATGTATTATTGTTTTGAGTTAAAATAATTTAAAAATATATATATTTAAATTGTTAGACCTGCTGTTTAGCCTGAATTTAATAATTTACAAATTTAATATAGTTTATAATATTATGGATGATAAAAAGATTTCAAAATAACTGTAAATGCTTTAAAATATAAATAATGTCTTATAGTTTTACATAAGATATTATACGAGGGTTGATATGATGTTTCTGGCATTTTTTATTTTTTTATTTTTGGACGTAAGCCGCTGTGAGCTTCCCAAATTTCATCGGCTCTTCTTACTTATCCAACGTAATGATCAGAGCCATAGCCTATGGCGCCTCAAAGTCTAATACTACAAATAATAAATGTAATGTTAAATTGTTTGTTAAGTTATACATTTTTAATTTGTATAATTTATTTTACCTTTCTTGGTTATAAAAATATAGTTGATATTGTAAACAATAATATAATAATAAATTGATACAGGTTGAAACTTATATTTCCGAATTAACACATATCTCTACAAGAAAGTCATGATGAAAATCAATGAAAACTGTTGATCATCAGCAATAATATCAGCCTCAATAAATATAAGATTTTGTAACGACCTTATCGATGTTATTAAACCATCATAATTTTTATCCGTACACTCGTAATAAGTTTTGTCTACGTACTGATTCATTGCATTTTGCAAAGCTGAACATTTTTGTCTCAATCTTAATATTATTGTTGGACTAGAAGTATGTCTTTTGGTGAAGGTACAAACAATTTTTGAACACAAAATATCCTCGATGCTGGAAGGAGCAGTCTTCAACAAATTGATTGTAATAAATGAGACATTGCATTTAGCATCAATTATTTTTAACTTGGTAACTCCTTCGTCTTCATGGAATATTTTTCGAATAATTGAAACTCAAGTGTTATACAAGCTCCGGCATGAACTTTTATTTGTTAATTATTTTAAAAACATAATTGGTTCATTGTCATTACCATCAACAAAATATTTATAAAATGGTATATCTATGTATGCCATATATAACATAACAACGACTGAATCGAATGGGCAGGTATTATACGCTATATTTTTGTCTTTTCCTAAACGAACGAGGGTGGTTGTATTACTATTAAGTATTTACTATTTAAGTTTAACCTTAGGTGCTTTGAACATAATAATTTATCGATTTCCGGCATTGAATTCATATATTTTGTTGATTTAATTTGTTGAATTGCCTTTTGGTCGTTTTCTTGGCCATGCCAGTTTTCTATAGCATTCAGCGATGAATCAGAATCAAATAAGTTTTTTATAGCTACAGAACTCAATTAAGGTCGTACATAGTGCGGGAAAATTTTCGACACCTTTCACAAATATAGGTGGAGGAGGTTTAATGATTATATTTTCAGCATTAGTTTGAGTTTGATAAGAGTTGAGTGGTACATTTCCAGCAGTAAAAGTGGTTTCGAATGGATCATCTTGGGCAAATATTTCGTATCTGTTATGTGTAGCAATTGTTTTTTTTTTTTTTATATATTTTGTATTATTGTTTTTTTAAAATAATATTATAATATATACATTTTATTCGTTTTCGGATTCAGAAATGTGGATGCTGTGTTTGAGGAGCAAGAGAAATTACGTTTATTCGTTCATGCTATTCAGTCATTATTATCCAAGCTGTTTGAGTCGGTATTATTTAAAGATCTGTTTAGACGAGCATTCTGTATAGTAGTTTTGTTAATATTATTGATAATATTTTTATTTGAATTATCAGTTTTAACATTTGGTAATGTAGACATGTTTATCTTGTGGACAAAGGTCGCCTTCCTTTGTGCAGTATGCGCGATAACGCGACGGTTGTAGATAATAAGATACTTGAAAGTATTACAAACTGAACTCGGTTCACATAATAAATAGAGTAATATAGACATTTTAGCGAATTAAGTAAAAACTATTAAATAGTTTTTTGCGTTTGCAAATTTATAAGTCAAAATAGGGAACACAGTGGTATTTAATGGAGCGACGAAAAAAAAAGGTGCGTTAGATACGTCATCTCGCACTGGTACCTTTAACTCCTTTGGCTCATCCCGCCAAAATATTATCAATAAATAATGAATTTTAGGGGAAAATTCAAGGTTAAATTTCTTATTAGCACGAGTCACTCGTCGAGCAAAAAAATCGTCTTGCTTTACAACTAAATATTTTTCACACAACTCTCAAATCAGTAAGATTGACTAATATTCGCCGATTACAAAGTCGTATGAAACCGGCTACTTTGTCCTTACTTTGTTTCTCGGACTCAAACTGGCTACTGCTGGCTGAATCAACAACGCCATGGTTGATTACAACAACAGGATATGGAAAAGGGTTGTCGTTATGACAACGCAACAACGTTCAATGTTCAAAAATTATCGATTTATAAAAAAAAACTTCAACTCAGTGACGGCGGCATCAGTTTTTTGATGGGAAATCTAGTCGTAAAAATAAAAGACGATGACAAAGACAGTGGTAATCGTGGATACGGGAGCGATGCAGAGAGAGAACAGAAGACTGCTTCGGTAGCAGCTGAAGAAAATACGCAGAACACGTCAAACACGCCGGAAACAACATCCGGACACGAGGCCGAGATGGAAGTGGCGAAGGGGGATTCTGAAGAAAAGATTCAGAAACCGCCTCAGAGGATACGGAATACAAGTCGGGGACGGTCACGACATAAATCACGACGCAAAAATTCCAAAGAGTCCAAAAACACATTCAAAGATACGACAACGAAGAGGAAGCGGAGGAGAAGGAGTAAGAGGACTTCATCTTTGTCATCGTCATCATCGTCGTCATCGTCGTCTTCAGAAGGCAATCGAAAGAAAAAACCTTCAGCCAATGATAAACGCTGTACTCGAAAGACCAATTCGGGCAATCAGAACTCTCGACCGGCTAACCGCGATGAGATTTTGTTTGTTTTGGATGATGAAGAATCCGCGGGATCTAAACGACAACGGCAGCGCAAGGCCAAACGAAATATGTCTGACGCTGAGAGATGAACCAGTATGCCGAGGAATCGACCAAGTTTGTGCAGGATGGGGTTATTAGATTTTCACATCGTTGATTGCCGCCTAAACCTTGAATAATATCCTAATATTCCAGTTATACGCAAAAAAAATATTAAACGCTACTCATCGCTTCGTACACGTTTCATAACACGAACATAAAAGCAAAATATATTTGTTTAAAAAATACAGCAACAACATGTATTTTTGTACTATTTTCAAGGAATAACTTATTATGAAGTACGCTAATCCGAAGTAACCATATTTAATATTTTAAACAATATGAGATGGTATATGCCATGAAAAAAAATTAATTCCTGATTGACTGTGGGTGTCTGAGAAAATGGTGTATTTTTTCGGTTAGTAGCTCTCCTATTTGTTTTATTTTCGCGCTCTCTTTCGTTCTGTTGCCCGTTAAGTGTGAGATTTTCGTAATTGCTAAGTTGTTTTTTGCGTTCTAATGTTCTAGCTAACATTTTTGGTCTTAGATATTATGTTCTTAGTTCTGTTGTTTTTCACTTTAGTCGTGCTGACTCATTATTAACAAAGTATTGCGTTGCGTATATTTACGGATATTAGCGTTGTTGCGTGTGTTGAACCAGTTGTTCTTTCTGTCGTTTTGGGTAAGTTATTGGCCAATAACTATATTATTTTTAAGTTTTGTTAGATTGGATTACATATTTTTTCAGGTTTATATAAAATCACCTCTAGGTGAATCTAAGTTGAATATTTTCCACTTTCAACAGTAATGTTTTAGTAAATTATAATTGTCTTAAAGTATTTTTGAATAGCACTGAATTAGAGTTGTTATTTGAGCTCATATACAATAAAAAAAAAGCTGTAAATGTTCTTAGGACTTTTTGTAAATTAATATAAATTTTAATGGGTTTTGGGATTTATTAATTAATTTTTACATTACATTTAATTTATTATGTGTAGTAATGGTAAAACCTAAAATAAATATCTCTTATTTTTATACTTTTAAAATAGTTCGAAGTTTCTTCAAATTCCGTTTAATTGCATTTATGTTTCCAGTAACTTAAAACCCTTATTTAAAGTCATTTTAGAATTCAGTACATCAAATATACGATCAACCTGTCTATTAAAATAAACTGCTGGTTTGCTATTTTGAAGCTGTACCACATTTTATTTTTATTTTTTTGTAGATATTGAATTGCATTAACACTATTCCTTATAGTAATTTAACAAAAAACTTGACCTTCATGACATTGTCCCTATAATTAATATGTTAAGATACCAATTTGTTAGCAAATTTAAATTTAATATAATTTTCAAAGCTATTTAAAGAAACAATAAATTCCCATTTTATATCATCACTTTCTAACTTAAATATAATATGTTTTTCAGTTGAAGCACATATTACTAATTTTATCATATGACATAGATCAAATATTACAAATACTTCTAAATAATTTCTTGCAGTAAATGTACAATTTAAATTATTTGCATAAAAATTGCAGGCTAATTTTTTAAAGCATTGGTGATTGGCCATCATAGGTTATACTTCATATTTTAATTTCTACTTCATGTAATTTTTTTATTTTAGAAGACAAAAGTGCACTTAATATGAAAACAACTGTTCATTTTATTTGTAGAAAAAAAAGCAACTAGATACTTAAAAACGTTTCGTTAAAGAAACCAGCATAGAACCCAAAACTTCACTTGCCAAATCGGGATTTTCTAAATCACCAAGTTCAACATTTTTGAAATAGTTGCCTTTATTAGGCTCTTAAGCAAATTGTTTTTTTATTGACGTAGAGTAAAATCAAAGCAACAATCTTCTAACCAACTTTTTGTTAGAACTTCTGACAAAAATAAGAGTACTTCGGTTGAGAATTTGAGATTACACTAAATAAAAGATAATCAACTTCATAACGTTGATGAATAAGATAATGTAGTTTTCTGCAAAATGTATAAGCTTTCTGCGAATAAAAACAAAGATTTTTGAAAAATCCTTCATAGTATCACTATACTGAACACCATTTTAGCAAACTTTAAAATTATAATATTTATTATTATATTATACGTTTTCAATACATTTTGTTGTTTTGTTATATGTTTATTTTTTACTCTTTAAATCGACGGCTAGAGGTGGCACGGATGTTAGTCAATTCACCCCCCCAGCTACCATCGTTTATTCTACAACAAATTTTACAATTATAGACTTATAAATCCCGTCTTCCTCTTCGCAGGACAGACTCACATTTAATTTACAACAGTTTCTAATTCACAATAACAATTTACAATTTACTTAATTTTATAACTAATATTATGTGTCTTACTTTCTTTTCGTGTGCCGGCCTTAGCCCGCCGTTCTGGGCTTTTCGTGCTGATGGTTCTAGATTCCAACCCCTTATGTGTTTTGTCGTTTCCTTTCTTTATCCTTTTTCTTCCACATAATATCATGGATAAATTTGGATATTAAATTCCACGATTCTAAATTAAACAACATTAGTTTGATTAGGTTCTTTGGGTTGATGTCCATATTAAGTAGGGTATTTAATCTTGTGCGTTTACTGTACCAAATAACGCAAGCGAAAACGATATGAGGAGCATCATCTGTGGCCTCACCACAGTACCATTAAGCAGAAAACTCGCCAAACTTGCCAAACTTATGGAGATACATAGCAAAGTATCCGTAGCCTGTAAGGCTTTGTGTGAGATAGTAGCTCGTCTTCCCGTGCCTCCGCATTAACCAGTTCCTTATGTCAGTGTTATGTCCATATATTTTTAGTAAATGCGTCCCATCTAAACTGCTAGGATCGAAGTAGATTCTGTTGGATGCTAGCTTCTTTGTGCTTATTGTTATCGAATAGTAACTCCCTCTTCGTTGCTAAAAGGTTGATAAGTGGCTTAATGGTTATGACGAAAACGGCGTCTATTGATACTGTGCGACAAGCATATGATACTCTCAACGCTGAACGTTTTTGTTCTCTAGTGAGTTCGTTTTTAACTTTAACGCTCATATTGTTTGCCTAGAACTCTACACCATATAAGATTTGCGACCGTATGATTTCGGCTCGTAGTCTACTTCTTCTTGGCCTGGTCGCGCTTATATTAGACATTATCTTCATTAATTTATTTGCTGTTATGGATGTTTTCTGTGCTACTATATGGGCATGTTCACTAAAATTTAGCTTTAGGTCTATGTGGAGATCAAGATACTTTAGACTAGGTGATGCTGGGATCTTTGTGTTATCAATTTCTACTTCACATTCATTATGTGTTCTAGATTTGGTAATGTTCATCACTTCAAATTTATTAAAAGCTAACTCTAGTTCTATATTGGTGAGCCAGTCCTTGGTTCTTTGTGCCGCAGTTGTCAGCATCTGACTAATCTCGATCATATCGTGAGCTGTTGCTACTATTGCTACATTGTCAGCATTTGTAATGACTTCGTGGTAACCGTATTCGTAAAAATCCATTGTACAACATGTTCTACATCGGTGGAGATAGAAAGAGAGAAGAGAGAGAAAGAAAGAAAGAAACAGCATTGTAAGACCAATAGACCAAAATTTGCCACGCTTAGAATCTAAAAGTTACTCTAGAGATAATATTGACACTTTAAATTTAATTGAATTATTTACTGTTATTAATATGCCACCACCTCTAGAACAAGAACTTTATTTTTATTTTTATCTAACCGAAAAATTGAAAAGTGTGTAAATCCTAATTCCGAATCACTTACGTCATAGAGTGCTACTGAATTGGTTCCCTGGTCTATATCGAAGTATCCGAATTAGTTCTCGTTTGAAACTTATTAATATTCAGGTGTTGGCCGAATTGGTTCCTATGCAAATAGTATAGTGTATAGTACGCACGTAAATGACATAGTAAATTAAGTTTCTCGAATTTAATAAAATACAAGTACCTAATATGTTTACTATATTAAGATTATGAATGTGAATTGTGAAAACTCCGATACAGTACAGTAGTAACTAGGTAAATAATTTTAAATTTATGACCTGTCTCACAACTAATCTCGATAGATAGCATACTTTTCAATATTTGTATATAGCAGTTTTGTGTCGTTTGTCTTTGTCGTACCTACATTTTCTTCATTTTTTTTTCAGTATGGAGTTTATGTTTAGCAAAAAATGGAAAGAATTTTAATAATTGATAAATATAGGTTTGGATTTCAAAAAAATCTAACGGATACTAAACTGAGATGGATATGTACGAAACGTGCGACAAACGTGGTGACAACCAATATTAGAGAGAATTTTATTCATAATAATGATTCGATAAACAATATTATTACATTTACATGTATAAGGAACGTGGACGTCTCAAAAAACCAATACGGTATTTGTCGATGACACATTTAATAGTTGCCCCAAACAATTTTGCCAATTATTTTCTATATTTATCAAGAATAGAAACTTTTATTTAACTGTCATATTTACCTTACTCCCAAATAAAAATACAGAAAGTTATATGCTTGTTTTCAAAAACATCGCAGAGTATGTAAAAGCCGACACAGTGATTGCTGATTTTGAAATAACAATACATAATGCTATAAATGCATAGAGGCCACTAGTTACAACTCGTAGTCGGAAGTTCTATTTGACCCAGTCATGGTGGAAAAAATTCAACAAGTTGGTCTATGTATAGAATTTAAAAACGAGGAGTCAGAAATTGGACAACTTTTAAAATTATTTTTTAGTTTGCCACTTTTATCTCCTAACGATGTCAAAGACTATTTTTATAACTAACTAATGACAATAAAACCATGCTCTCTGAAATTGGATTAATTATTCGACTACGTTCATGATACATATATAGTAGCAGACTATACTATTCCTCCAAAGATGTGGGCTCAATTTGACTACAATACCGAAAGAAGTACGAATTGTTGTGAATCGTTTCATTCAAAGCTAAATAGTGACCATATGAACATATTCAATTCACGGAAACTTTGAACAGTATTCAGACACTAAATTATACCAAATTTTGTAGTATCAATACTAGAAAATGCGCAGACAAACGAGAAAAAAATATACAATACTTAAATAATTGCAAGAAAGATTATGAGAATGGGATGTTTATACGAATTAATTATTTGAAGAAAGTCAGTTTTAAGTTTACACTAAGAATTTTATATTTTTATATTTTTTTTAAGTTTTTATTTTTATTTACTATAAATTGGAAATTATTTTTTATTTACATACATTATTGATGATATTCGATCTTACGTACTTATCTTTTATACGCTTATTACCACACATTTTTAACTATAGGTATAGTTAAACCTTAATGTTTGGTTGGCAGTCAAATCGGGCAAAAATTAGCAACATATCTATTATATATACATACATATATATACACAAATGGGACCCATTTTTAAAAGGATACCAATTCGGCTACTCCCACATCATCGATAAGTCTTAGGTCTCTAAAATATCAAACTTACATACAAAAAAAAACTATGTAATGTATTTAATTTTGTTTTGATACCACAGACATTTTGATAATAATTTATTATTTCAGACGATATATAATTACAATTAGATTTGATTACATGTTTTGAGTTTTGAACAATAGTTGGATTACCTTTTATATAGGTACCTGCTAATAAATAGATCTTGTTAGATCTTGTCCTGTTAAGGAGTAGCCTCTCTCCAGGACTTTCCCCACCTCATTAAGTAGGCTGATGAACTGAATGGTAGGTCCTGCGGCTTAGCCTGGCCCTTAACCAAACCTAACCAAACTTTTTTTTTTATCATCTGGTATCACACGATTCAGAGAGGAGACTGCATGAACATTGCTTTCTTTCCGGTTAGCATCGTTTATACAAAAAAAAAAAAAAAAAATTACATCAACATACAAAATTTTCAACTGAGCCAACAGCAGACATGCTGACAAACCTATCCACCAGCCATCTAGCCGCTTTACTCTTACACAGCATAACATGTTACGAAATTTTTATATTAGGGTTTAACCCTTTAATGTTCTTTCCTTTTTATGGACTGGCGATGTCCACCACCCTTAATTTCTCGTTCTTGAGATACTTATTCACGAGCCGGTAAAGCCCGCTCCCTAGAAAACCCATTCAGACCAAACTGGAAAATCGACCACGTGATGGTGACATGATGGTCATACCGTTATCGCCATCTATGGTGCTATAACATTATATGGTCGATGTCGGTGGCACCACCGACTTCATCGATGTAGTCGAAAGTATCGAAACGACCGTATATCTCAGTTCGACATAGGAATGTATATTGCAATGAGCTCCTCCTCTAATGGGCATAACAAAACATCTTGCAGAACCTCAACTGTTAGAGGGTCATTCCTAAAAAAACGCCAAAAGGATGATCTATCTTTGTGCCAATAGGCCCAATATAGGTCAGGCGTCCTCTGTATTCTACAAAGATAACTCTGGAAACACCATGCCCTGTCAAAAACTGCGTAACGTGATAGCTCAGTCTGGCGTATGGTCGCATTGCCCATCTTTTTAAATTTGGCATAAGTCATCACGTCCATGCACCGATGACTTTCTAATCCTATTTTAACTGCCACCAAAGCCGTAAATGGTGCTCAGCCTCTTGCTTAGCCTCACGAGGATCAACTCCAGCAGACCTGTACCGGCTTAGTGCACAATGTCCAAGAGCTTTTCTATCGCACCTAGGGTTGAGCGTCCTTTTCGGAATCCGTACTGGTTATTGGAAAGGTCATTTCGAGGAAAACTAGCAAGGTGGCTTTCTGGCCTACTCTTCAAAACTCACGCTAGTGATTTCCCGACCGTATTTATCATGCTGAGAGGGCGGTAGGAAGAAAGTAGATCCAGTTGCTTTTGAGGTTTCTTTACTAGAACCAACCTTGCCTCTTTCCACGGATGGGGGGAAAAACACCTGCCTCTATACAGTGGTTGTACACCACTGCAAACCCTGTGGATCTGCTTAGCATGATAGCTTTCACCAGGGCGTCAGGGACACCATCGACACCATCGAAGCAAGCTGTGTTCCCAGTAGGTAGTGAGCTCCCGAGCTCAGTCAGCTCATAAGCGGTAACCGTGACAATGTGGCATACCCTGTCCACGGGCTCCCATTCCACAGAGGGTTTCGTAGGAACCTAACCTAACATAACCGGTCCGCCACTATTATTTATTACTTTAAACGCACACATGGATACAAATTGTATTAATTTACATAATATTAAACTCGAATAACAGCTAATAAAAATTAAAAGAATATAATAAATATTTCCTATCCGCTTTAAGTACTCCTCTTTAGAGGCCGTCTTCGACCGCTTCCCTTGAACACTCGTTCCTGAGAGCCTCTTCTTGGACCGGTATGTTCGCCCACCACCCTCACGTTTTGGTTCTTTTCGATGTGCTCATGCGCCGATGGTAACATATTAGCATTTCGGTGGCACCTCTGAACATTATTCGCTTTCAATTGAAACTGCCACCTGTACTTAGTTGCGGCCGTTTGCAGAACTAATATTATTGGTTAGAACTACATAATATTAGTACCAAATAATAGGTACCTACACTATATTTCAATACCATCGACTATATTATATATTTAATAATAATATTTTAAACGTTTTACAAAAATAATTATCAAAGCAAGTTATTGAAATCTTCACTCCATAATCAAAAGTATCAAAAAAAATTACTACTGTAGTGTACATACAAAATATATAAAATAAACATATGGCTATAGCATAATATGGTTGAAAAAATAAATTATCTAAATATTTTTGTCTCAAATTAAGAACAGTTGGAAAAAAGAAATTTGGATTTATAGGAGTATGATTTATAACTTATCTTTAAAAATCAATAGGTACATTATATTATTTTTGATGTACTATAAAATAAGTCATTTGAAATAATCTCTACATCATACATAGATACAATAATAAAATATTTTTATTAAATTCAAAATAAAAAATTCTTAATTGAAAATGAAAATAAATGATATATACACATAGATATTATATATGTAGGTACCTATAAAAAAATGTATATATTTAAAATGTATATGATATGCTACAGCGTTTAAGAAATTTACATTAGATTTCGATAACTTGTTCCAATAATTTTTTTTGGAAAATGTTTAAAATATTATTGAATATATTATAATAATAAAGTATTAAAATATTGCATAGGTACTATAATACAATAATACTACCTAGCTACCTGGCGTTTCGCCATTTGAGACTCTCAGCCTTCTACCTGTCTTGCTCCAATTCTTCCTCGTTGAGAGGATTCTGAAAACCATGGCATACAGACTCTCCGTAACTCTCTGTGTCGCCTCCATAATTTATACTGACTGAGAGTTATTTTGATGTAAGTCCGGCTCTGGTCCACACAGAATATCAGACAAGTGATCATGACTGATCATGAGTTTCTTGCCGCCAACGTAACGTAATACATTCGCTCGCTTTTCTTCCCAGTATGGGCAGTGGAACTGTGTGCTTCGTGGAATCCTCCTGTCCTGTGCTAGCTACCATGTTAATCTTGAATAGATAGGCTTGGAAACAGTCATGTCCAGATAATGCCTCTAACGAGTGAAAATTGATTGGGATCCGGACGCTTCGCCCCAGCCAGCGAGAGTTGGGCAGCAGTTGTCTTACAGGCAGCCTTAATCGTACCTCACCAGTGTTCACACCATTCTGCGATAGTCCGTCTCCTTTCTTCGACCGCTACTGTTACTTTCCAGGTATAGAACCAGTCTACCTGGCAAAAATTCGCCAGCATTCCAGTGCAAGCAAATCTGCTGGGAGCATCTCTGCTAGCAGTAGCACCGTCTTAATAGATACCATTCTATAAGCTCGTGGAACCCTTAAGGTCTACTTGCGTTGTCGGTCAACAATCTTGATGTGATTCTTTTGGTCACCAAGGCGGCCTCTGCTCACACGGTGATCCATATAATAGGATGGAGGAATACTGTGGATGACAGAAGGTAGAAACTTACTCGGCGCAACTTGGCTCTCCCGTGTTTAGCATGACAGCCTTTTTTTTTTTTTTTTTTTTAATGGTGTCGCAATACCAAAGGAGGAACTAACTGAGTCATTACTCTTCCTTTCGGTGGCATCGTTTATTTCCCAGAAATAATCACAAAAATTACATCATAATTTACAAAAATAACTACAACAACTTTTACATCAGTATTTATAACTGCTAGGCTTGGATTAACCTGCATGTCGCCGTTTCCATCCTTGCATAGTCGGAGCCCTCTTCGCAAGTCGGCTCTGGCCTGCCGCTCAGAATACCTCTTTTTAATTAACCTGGTCAGCCAGCGTGCCACCCTTGCCATCACGTCCTGAATGTCTCCAGTGACTGTCTTTGCGGAGCATTTGGTGCATGTGGGTAACAAGCTACTTGTCACCTCAGGTCTCCCAACCACCTGGTGCCATAATATACAGATGGTGTCTGTGGTGGTGCAGAACGGTCCATCTGTATTACGTTGGTCGTATCTCTACGATGGGGCTCTCTCCTAGGCACCTTCCACCTCTTTCCTGGTTGAATTTTTTTTTTTCAAAGGCCTTAAAGATCTTCGTCTAATTTCGCCTTGAGCTTAGCATCTCCTAGACTGTGTTTTGTACGAGTTTGACTTTTTTCCAACACTGGGTATGATTCCATAAGACATGCATTTAACATGTTTGCCACGCGGCCAGTGTTAGCTTTAACGACTGCCTTAAGAAGCTCGTTAGATATCCCATCCTGACTGGGGAGGGTCTTACCTTTAGGTAGCTTACTTGCTTCATGGGCTAGTTTGCCCGTACTTATATCAGGAATTCAGTGACTATTACCCCTTACAGGGAAAATATGGTCAAAAAGGGTGGAAGCATCAGTGAGATTTTCCCTTGAGAATAGTCCCTCGACAATCTTCTTAAGCCATCCGTCCTCATCAGCGATCAATATTAACCTCATTTTGTTCTACTTCTTCATGTGGACCATATGTAGACGTCCTCATACATCATTGCCAACTTCCAAACTAAAACAAACAAGCACTTTTCATGGTAGGTATTTAACAGCGACACAGCCTTTTGTTTTCTTTATGTTTGTAATCACGGCGCTACAGGAGGGCACTACAACCGCTTGGGCGCCTGTATCCTGTAGCCGTTGCATCTGTATCTTTTATTAATAAATATAAATACACTTCACCGCGGGTATATTGATCATGGCCTTTGCCTCGCGCCCCCGACATTTGGAAAAATCCTCTTAAGCTCGTTAGCTGTATTACCGGTTTTTTTGACGACCGTCAGGATGTGTTCCCTGAATCCGAGTCCTGAATCCTGAATGTGACCTAGCTCTACACCCCGATACCATATGCTATTCTTCGTCTGCACCGTTACCCCATCCACCAAGAATGAAGGCACTTCATACCCTCGCTTTGTGGTAAACATGACGACTTCCGTTTTGTGCGCCGTTTTGTTTTGTACGCAAAACCTAACCGCTCCGAGTACTCGATTTGCCACCTCCTAAAGCAGATCCTTGTTATGCCTGTCACTACCAACATCACGTCATTCGCGAATGCGACTAACTCAGCAGAAAAGTAGCCGAGGGTGTTATCCTCTAAATCGACGCAGAGGAGGCGTTATATTTTATATTCCACAGTAGTGGCCTGATGAATGATACTTGCGGTACGACGTTGCTCACCGCCCTGCGCTGGTCCTCCCCGTAGATCTGAGTTCAGACATACAGGTAACTGCATACGATCCACGCCCAGTATCCTGGGATTTTCTTTGTCATTGCCTGACTAATTTTTTTTTACATGGCCATGTTAGAGTCATTTGCCATGTCTAGGGTTACGAATACACACAGCTGCCTTCGGTGCAGAGACCCCGTTGATTTGGCTTAGTTGCTAACGTCTGGCTAACTGCTTTCATTACGTTTCCGATGACATCTATAGTCGTTTTCTTCTTTCGGTAGCCGAACTGCCTCCTACTCAGAGTGAACTTCCAGCCTCCCCTTTAATTTTCGCTCGAGGAGCTTCCCAGCCATATTTAAGCGGCATATCGATTTGTAAGACGAAATCTGGTCCAGCGGTTTGTTGCCATTGGGCAGCAGAACCAGCTTATCCTTTTTCCATTCCTCAGGAAATAAACTCTCCTCCAGACACATGTTGAACAGCCTACCGAGGATGTCAGATCTACTCTCAGCGATCACTCTGATCACCAACGCTGATATAACATCCGGGCCTGGAGTTTTCTCTGTAGGGATGCCACGAACGTGCCTCCTCAGTCATCACCTCCTATAACTCCACTATTGCGTCCCTTGTTGGCCATACGATGACTTCGTCGGTTAGAAAGAGACCATACACAATGCTCTCTAACCTGCAGGCAAAGTTATCCTGAGGGTTGGTTTTTTACCGAGGAGATTCTTCCGGACGATCTTGTAGGATAGGCCCTTGGGATCAGCGTCGACCTGCCTGCCGAGGCTGTTCCAGCAACTTGTCTTGCTTCTTTCAATCGTTATCTTCAAATGTTTCCTGGCCTCTCTAAACTCATTGTATTTCTCCTCGTTTGGTTTCTTCTGGTTGAATTCCACTTAGCTTAGAGCTCCGCTATTTCTTGCTTCCATCAGAAAGTCGCCTAACCTAACCTAAACTCTATCGTAAAATTCATGGCATCACTTGGCATCACGGTAAATACGTGGTAGACAGGACACGGACAACGCCCTAACCATTTGAAAGATTGCCTGTGAAATCGTCTGAAATTAAAAACAATATATATATTTTAGTCAATTTTTTAGTTATGACAAAATAAATATTTACAGTTTTGGCTGTCCACCAGGCGACGGCGTGTCCGTGCTCATGAGTAGGCCTAGAGGGCTACTGCTGCTGCTAATCTCTATTAAAAACATATATTTACTTATAGAATACAGTGGGTATCAGGTAACTAAATATAGTATAAATTAATGATTTAAAATAGTTTAAAATCGTTTTCATCAACAATTACTCTTAGGTAGTTATTTAATTACTTTTATATTATGAATGCCTGTAAAAAAACAGTTATCATTCGATAAAAAGTTAAAATTTTGAGTTATTAATGTTGAACTGAAGCCGATTGTTGTATTTGATGTACAAAATTAAATATAATTAGAATTTTTAAAATTAAGTTAAAAAATTATTATCTAACGAATCTTTAATTTTTTAAAATTAAGTGTCGAATAGATTTCAGTTAAGAAGGCCCCAGTGCAGAGGGTAGTAATTTACCTTCTTCTGTGCAATTCGATGTTTCTTAGTTCTAAAAAGATGCCCAATGAGTTCCTGAACTCAAAACTTATTAAAAAATTTAAATCGGTCAATATCTTCAGGTCACGGATCGACAAAAATGTTTTTATGGGCGGGAGAAGAGAGGGGGGGGGATGTTTGTAACTTTTACGAATCAATGAACCGTTGTTTTTGTCATCTGAATGATTCAACAACCTGGACAACCGACAACCGGTTTCCTTGTCCCGACCGTGTGAAAACCTACACTAAACACCGCGCAATGTCTCGGTTAAACGTGTTATCTCACTCATTATCTAAATAATCGAGAAGTTGTCAGAAAGTGCAGACTGTAGAGCGCTTCTCTGATATCAACATGTATTTCAATCTGCGATCTTCGGAAACTGAATGTCAAATTTTTAGGACACAACAACCGTTTTCGACGGTAATGCTACTTACCTATGGAGATATGTTGAAAACATTTTTATTCATCTCTAATAAGGTGAAAAAAAAATACAAGAAGGATCATTCAATGACGGTGATTCACAAAAAAATTATTAAAAACATAGTAAAAGCATGGGATAAATCTTCGATTCCTACTGTTTCTGTTCAACGTGTTGAATCTATGTTTTCAACGTTTTCTAAAAAGTATAAAAATGTTAAAAAAGTTTTGGATCTAAAAGCCATACAACTGAGAACATCAAGGATAAAAGTAAAACAACGTTGCTTGAAAATGGGGCAACGATTATTTGATATCGCTACATGTAAGTGCTCTGAACCAAAATATTGAAAGTGCCTGACTTGCAAAAAGATTCCATTACTCAAATTGAAATGTATGAAAGATCAGCAAACCATTCGTAAAATGGGAATCGGAGGAGTTGATCATAAAGAAACAAAAAAATGAGAGGAAAAGAGGAGCGGAAAATTAAACGGATGGCCCGATCAAAAAGTCTAAAAATTGTCCAAAATATTCACAGTGAATCTACATTATTTTTTGCTCCTGAATCAGAATCAGATTAAGACTCGAATATTGAAACAGACGAACGGCGTCCACTAAAACACTCATTATCTTTGGAATCGAGTTATAATTATAAAAAACTTAAAAACGCTTTTGTAGCAGCTGACCGATTTAGAGTGTCCAGCGGTGTGACAGCAGTAATTATATCTTGAGCTCTGCAAGATCATAAACTGGTCTCTAGTAATGATAACAGATTTCTCATTGATAAAATTATCAAAAAGGTAAAGATCAAAGATATGAACTGGAAAATGGGAAGAAGCGTCAATCTCTCTCAAGGCCAACATAGTGACAGCAATATATTTTGATGGAAAAAGGATGAAACTAAAATTGTTGTTAAAACAGGAGATAAGAATCGCACAATCAACAAAATGTATGAACATATAATATTGTATCCAAACCAAACGACAATATTTAATGCGTTTAACGCATGTAAGCGGAACAGGGAAATAAATTTCCAGTTTTTTTACGAATATTTGAAAAATTTCCCTGCATTAGAAAATAAAAATACCTTGTTTACCTATCCTATAGTTTGAAATCAAAAACTTACAAATAAATAATTATATCTTAAAAACAATTTGATGGGGATCTATTAAATATATCGGTCTTAGGAAAAAATCGAGTATTATTTTATGAAATATTATAAACTTACTAACAAAAATAAAATTTTGGTTTTTTTGTATGATACCACACGTATTATTTTGCGTATACTTAACGTATTATTAAAAAAATATAAGTCGATAAAACAATTTTTACAATAATTTCAAAATTTTTTTTGAAGATGTTAATATTGTTTTATGTATATTATGTTATTGTTTCAACTAATTAAAAGTAAATATTATAATTTGTTTAAAATGTATTATAATTATAATTCATAATTTATAATTTATTTTCAATTTAAAATAATCTTCTTTTCCTTCGCCTTCATCCCAATAATTTGGAATCAACAAACTTGTCCTAAACTTTCGTTTGACCTTCCATCGTCTATATACCGACGGTTTTGAATATCCTTATATCATATGATTATCAACCGCATACAACCAACCTCTTTTTCGATCTTCCTCTTCCTATTTTAAATCCTACGTTTAATTTCATTATCATTCTTACTGTTTCTGATTCCTTTCTTCGCATGGCATGCCCAAACCTTTTTAGTCTATTTCTCTCATTTTTCTACAACTGAACTCACGCCTATGCTATCTCTTATATACTCATATTTTATCCTATTTCACGCCATTCCACTAATATATCTAAATATTCTCATCTCTGATAAACTATTCTCTATTTCTTTTTCTATTTCTCTATCTATCAAATAATAAAACAGTTAGTTTCACCACATTCTTGTAGAACTTACATTTAAGTGTCATTGGAATTATCTTATCATATAAATCACTTGATGACTCTCTCCACTTAATATAATCATACTTAATACTACGTTAAACTTACTCTTCTTTATTTGTTCCTGTACACATCTGATATGGAGCAATTTATCCTTGTTTGGGACTTTTCTATCTATTTGACATATTTTTTATCTGTCGACCTTAAACCTCAAGAAATATTTAATATTTGCACTCTTCTCGAAGATATTAGATTTTTTCATAGCTATATATTATTATGTTAATGTGCTATAAATGTGCAAACAATTTTATATCCCCTTTACCGTAGAAAAATTCTAGATCTGATCCTGCTATAAGTGTTATCAATAAAACTAAGCGATTTGATACTTACTGTGTGTCAAGTATAGAACATAAGAATTGGTTTAAATATAAATGGAAACAGGCTCAGATTTTTGTCTAGGCCGGAAAAATTGTAAGAGCTGCAAATTTATACTGAACAAATGTGTATTTTATTTATTTAAATTGTTTGTAAATCACATATTAAAATTGTTTTTAGTAAAATAATTTTGGTTTATATTAATTCGTAAAATATCGGCTAACATTATAGGTAGTTATTAATAATAGCAAGTATTATATTATATAGTATATACGCCCTATGGGCTGTGGCAATGAACTATAAAAATAGTGAAACATGAAAAATCAGTAGCATATATCAACTTTCTTCAAGAAACATATAACTTTTTCACAGCATCAACTCATCGATGGGAGATATCTTATTTAAAAAAGTCAATGGGTGTTAAAATTTCGTCTCAAACACGATGGTCATCAAGACATGAAGCTAGTAACTATTTATTTATTTATTGGAATGATGTTCAATATGCTTTACAAGCTATTTATGATGATGATACTGAAAAATCTAAAACTAGATATGAAGCTTTGATTCTTTTGAAATATTTTAGTTGCCTAAAAATGTGTTTTATGATTTTTTGACATAGAGTTTTAAAAAAACTTGTTTTTAATAAAAAAACTGCAATCAGTAAATATTGATTTTAGAACAGATTTCTGAGCGGAGTTCAGTTGATAGTGATGCTTTGTCAACAATATATATATATATATATATATATGTCACTATATAGTAAAAATAAATAATTAAATAGGCTTTATATATTTTATTTAATCAAATTTGTTAAAAGTTGTACCGATTTTCCCAATTTTACTAAGTTTTTCCGGTTTTCCCATATTTTATCTCAGTTTTTCACATTTGTTGGAGAAACTCTTAAGAAAATCAAAAATTTACCTCTCTAAAGTACCTCACCAGTGAAATTTTATTTTAGAAATATTGCTGTCATTAAAAGTTGAAGCAAATTATATACTATATAGTACTTGTTCATTCAGCTTATTTAGGTCAATATATAGTTTTACATTATTCAGTTAAAATTGTCTTTATTAATTTTTACCAATTTAGGTCTCATATTAATGGACAAATTAGGCCTGGGGTTTGGAAAATTTACAATAGGAATCGTTGTACTCTACAATCTTTTTTATACACTTTTTGCACCTAAATACATTCAAACATTATTAATTACTACCAGATTAACCAATTAGCCAAAAGCTTTTATCTATTCGATAGGTGTACCTCCTTGGAGGTATGAAGTCATTTTCAGTGAAGATATCCGAGTGTATTCTAAGCTGTGGCCTTTTCATATCCTTTTTTTGACATTCTTAAGTTCATTGCGCTCGCACTTCTCATGTCGACTAATTCTTTTTACCAATTTGATTAATCCATAAGACCTTACTTTCATTTTCTTTTGGAAATAAATGAAGACTATTGTTTAAACGGTAGAAAAATACAATTTACAATTATGTGCACAATATTTACACCTTTTTTTAAATACTTCCTTCGCAAATTGCATATAAAAACTGGAAAAAGAGAACACAGCTGTGTAGTGATAAGTTACTTAAATAAATATATTAGCTGTAATTTTTCAATAAATGACAATAGATCGCACAATGCTGTTGGTTCAATTACGAAAAAAAAAGGTCTATCATCATTGATTTACCACGGTATTTTGTGGCGATGTACAAAAGGATGATTTTTATTAACGTTTTGCTATAGAACACTCTTTAAATAATACAACAAAGCTCAAGTGTTTGAAAATATGGTCTTAAATTAAATTTAAAAATGTTAAATAACTGTATTATTAAAGTAAAAAAACTACCCTAGGATAATGGGGACCAGCCACTGTTAAAGGTAACAATAATGCAACGATAAACGTTACAAACGAAAAAAAACAATTCTAAGCGGAGTTCAGTAAATAATGATGCTTTGTCAACAATATTTACATCATATTATGGTGAAATTATTAAATATGCATTATATATTTTCTTTAATAGTATTTGTTTTTAATAACCCTCCATAAAGTGCATTCCTAATCAGATTTCTTTTAAGAAAAATTGATAATATTGTAATTTGGAGCGGAATTGCTTGTAGAAAAGTTGTTCACAGGAAAAAAGAAAGCCATATTTTTAGCCGATTTTTTAGACCTACATTTTATACATTTCCCGGTTTTTCTCAGTTTTTTTTCGGTTTTTCACATATGAAGAGAAAACCGAAAAATGATGTTTCTAAAGTACCTCCTAATTGGTGCGATTTCCTTTAAAAAAAGATGCTACACTTAATTTAGATGAATATTTCTCGTAGAAAAGCACAGATGAAAAAAAAACGTAATTTCTATTAAACCGATAATAATAAAATTGCTGTTACAGGCAAGGAAGATTTTAAAATAAATGTATTGTATGTATTGGTTGATAAATTGAATGCTGAACTTATAAAGCGTAAGAGTTCTTAGAGTTCCTGTGTATCTGAAATTTTATTTGTTATTTAAATAATGCAATACTAATGAAAAAACTGTTCATAGAATTAATAGTAGTAATAGAATAATAAAAAAACTAGAAAATGTTTTTATTTAACTTATTAATATACTAAAAATTAGAAAATAAATTCTAATATCCGCTTACCTGGTATAGTGAGTATGATGTACTTTCACTGTTGAAATGTGCTTAAATAAATCGGTTGGGCTTTACTTCCTTATTCACCTTAAACCTTTATATTAATAAAATAAAATTATTGTTGCCCATTTAATCTTGATTTCAACATTCATGTTGGCACTCACTCATATTTTGTAGTATAAAGTTCATATGCACTAGTATTCTTAATTATTATAGTATCTGAACTAATAATGCATTAGAAACTTTGGGGGGGTGAGGGGGAGCCCCCATCAAGTTTGTTATACTACTGGATATAATAATACCCCTCTTGAGACAAAAACCTAAATACGCCCATGGCACAATCCAATTCACTAATTTATAAACCCTCTAGTGAACGGACGTGGCTAGGAGTAACATATGCCTGGCTGACTTGAAACAAATTATCGCCTAGGTACATGATCATCTGTGTTGCCTTTCATCTTGTGTTGGTACCGTACTACCACATGAAAGGACAAGAGGAAGCATTCGACGAGCAATTGTACTTTTATTAGAGCACGTAGAGCACCAAAATCCTTAGTAAACGGTCCGGTAGGGGCGTTCGATCGCCTGGGCTGTGTTTGATAGGACGTGTTCCGCCGTGGAAGGGAATAATAATAATTTCTAACAAATACACTATTATCCGAACAAGAAAACCGATTATAATACGAACTGCGTGTCATCATCCTCGCGACGCGACGGTGTTTGCCTTTCAAAGTCAAAACAATCAAATGTTAGACAAAGCTCTTCGACGTGCACAACTAGAGCTCGTCCTGATTCAGAATATACCATGTTTAACTCTGTACGTTTAGCAGTTATCAAGAAATCACGCGGACAAACACAAGATTCGAAGCTAAATAAAAACCTTAAAAAAACAATGGCACTAGTAGACCATTATTCTAATGATATAGAATTATTTACCAACGAATGTCTTCATTTCGGTGATCATCTTTGTTCAAAATCTGATGATAAAAAAAAGCTCTAGAATTGTGTGAAATGTTGTACAAAGACAACTTAATTGATGTATATCCAAATGGACTAAATGTCACTACTACGTTACGTATTTTTTATGTACTTTTGGCTTTTGCGACGAATTGTTCAGCCGAACGTTCTTTTTCAGCGTTAAGATGGATCAAATCATATTTACATTCAACTACAGAAACATAGAAATTAAATATAAGGGCAGTTTTACTCATCGAGTCAAAAATGCTTTATATTATAAATTATGATAGTATAATTAATGAATTTGCTTCTAAAAGAGTTAGCCGTAAAACTTTGTAGACTATGGTGTTTAAATAAAAAAATGTATTTATTTTTTTTGTGATTTTGTTTAAATACTTAAATTATTTCATAGTTATACTTCTAATATAATTTAATTACAATTTTCTTATTAATTACTTTCAATATATTAAAAAATTATTAATAATTAAAATTTACCTTTTTTTCATAGCGGAAGAGAATCGAATTGAGGTGAGGGAGGCAAATTTTATTGAGTCCTATAGCGACACTTGTGCTAAATCCAGGCCTGAGTAGAGACGATTGAACAGGTGGAAAACAGATAGGTAAATAATAATTAATAAAATAAAACGCCGAAACGTAATGTAATAATAATAAATAATATTTTTATCAAATATTTTAAAACAATAAATTAATGAAGTATAATATTATTATTGTGTTAAACAATAAAATTTTATCTGGGAAAAAAATACAATTATTAATATTCTATTATACTAGAATACCTATGTAATTATATAAAATTATATAATATTAATAATACGAGATTTTTTAAAAAAAAAACAAAACAATAATTATGACGTTAAAATTATAAGGAGATCGCGTGTCCATCGTTATATATGGTTATAATATTACTATATACTTACTTAAAATTATTAATGTTATTATGGTTATTATAAAATTGTAGCGTGATGTGCATATACCAGCAATGCTAAAACGGTAAGGGAAAAATATATTAAGTTAAGTATTGAGTTTTTATGCATTCTGCAACTGTCATGGGAATGAACATAAACTTATTTATATTATTATAAATCTTACATAGATGGGAGTGTACCTAATAATAAGAATACAATATTTATACGTTCAAAAATTGACGAAAATCAATGTCTCGCCGAAAATCCGTATTGGTGGTATTTTCCGTATGCCCATGTAATAATACCTATAATCTGGGACTTAATATAATTCTGGAGTGGAAGAACACGAATTTTGAAATGATAACCAACGATATATTGTCGCTTGTTACGTCCTAAGTAAGTTACAATAATACTATAAGTTATCAGGGACGAATTTACGGTTTTTCGTAGGTACCTAACCTGATGGAATAATATGTAAACACATTTGACTTTTCATCAATTAAATTTCACGGTTATTTTTAAATCCCAAACCTTAGAGGCTGATCTATTAGCGTTATCAGCTCTCATTTAAAAATCCAAAATGTTTAGCGAAAATTAAATTTTCGTCACCTGGTTTACGCTCGGAAGTTCCTCTACTTCGTCGTTGTAATTATAATACATTAATATTATAATCGTATGACGTTTTATTATATTATTTAATTGCGCAATACCAGCGAATCGTTGAAATTCACAATTTACGTGTACCCCTTTTATATTATTTGATTAATTACTATAATATAAATTAAACATAATTTTAAAGTTATTAAATACAATTTAAAATAAAAGCAAATGACCTTGTCGAATAGGTTAAGACTATAAAATATCGATATTTGGGATGAAAGTTGTCGGAGAAATTCCAAATATTAATTTTAAATAGATTTCGGGTATAGCCTGGAATTTATTTTTGGTAAACAATTTTTTGCCAGTCAAAATATAGTTTTATAAAATAATTGGCGGGCCATGTTCATTGATAATAAAGGAATGGGTTGGTCATTGTAGCATATCATACGGTCAGTTTTAAGAGTTTGTATGAGGTAATTATAATAAATAATAATAACACACTAGTAGTATCTGAGTTTTGGTTTTTGTTTAAATAATAAATCTTAATATTACCATTATTGATTACAAATAGATTATAATATATTAACTATAAAACTAATGATATTATACTAACAAGTGAAAAGAAACTGTGTTACACATAACAGCCATAACATAGAACAAAAATAACATCAAAAAGTACTCCATACGCTTAGATAACAGGGAAAAAAGGCCTCAACTCCATACATACTTATAGACGTGTTTCATTCGTCATATTATCTATGCTTACGTTTGTCAATTTTTCGCCATTCATAAAATATATTTTCGTTATTATTGTGTACTTTTCATCCGATCAGGTGATCAGGCTGAAATTATACAACATAAGTACCTAAATAATTTAACTAATAATTGCGAAAATTAATAATGCCCTTCGACGTGTAATACATATTTTTATTTATGAATATTTATAATATTTAATTTTATGAAACGAATTTCATAAAATTTAAGAAAGAAAATTACGAGAACCTTGATATTACACCTACGTTTTTATTGATAAACGCCGAGAAAATCGGTAAAATAAATCTATTAAAATTAAATACCGAGTTTGTCTGAAAGTATTATTCTTCCGAGAATTATAATTGTTTTCCCCACAAAATTTGTTTGGTTCTTTTGTTTTATGAAGTTGGAAATTTTTTTGATTTTTTGATCCTAGGCCGCTCTCCCACTAGCGCGACGCAACTGACAAAACTGGTGACTTTTATTAAGTCTATTTTTCCAAAACTTATAAATAAAATTACTCTTAAACATACAACGCGACTATTGTTACGGCGACTGCGGCCATAATAATCGCACGCGACTGAACATATTCAATTTCATTGCAACGGTCGTCTACAACTTTGATAAATATGGCCAAGAAAAAAGATCCAAAAAAGTTATTAAGTTCAGAAAAACTTTCTTTACTTATTCGATTGAATAATTGAAAATATTCTGTATGTTACAATAGCTCTCTTGAAGCAACATGAGTATTTTTTTTCTTACACTATTAGCTAACTAGGAATGAACTCAAAATACATTTTTTTTTTGAAAAAACCCAGATCACTATCACACTATCATCTGAATTATCCGATTCCATTTTTAATACACGGTTGATGCTATAGACGCTATAGTGACAAATTGTCAAAAAATAATACAAGTACAATTTTAACAATGCAACCTAAATCGCTCGAATGAGCAAATAAACATGAAACTCGTCGCATACAATGATTTCATTGTTTTGTTTTTAGTTTCATTGCGTCAATTACGTCGATCTAATGGAGAGCTGCCTAAAAGTTCGTCGACGATTTTTACAAGAGTGCAGGATTTTAATTAAAAAAACCTTGTAATTATAAAATATTCGGTTTAACTCCGAATATATCATTATATTATAATAATATTATGATTTAATAGCGAATATGTAATAAAAAAATAATTATTAAAAAAAGTAACAAAATGCACACACACACACACACACACACACACACACACACACACACACATCTAAAAATGGTAGTTAACGACCATTGCTTAATAATATTAAAATCCAATTCTTAGGTATTAAGATTTTTTTTTTCTTTTCCATTAGAAATAATCCGCGTTATCTGAAACAAATAAAAATTAGATTTAATTCATATTAAAATTAACAACATTGTAAAATAAACACAAATGGTATATTATAGGGTGGCCATTTTTCCCGAACCAGTAATTATCTATACAATGATGACAATAACCAGTGTCGAAAAAGTCCCGTTTAAAAAAGGAATTCACTCCTGTTTCTCGTTTATACTGCAAAAAAGAAATACGTTCCCGTTACTCGTTTATACTACAAAAAAGAAATACGTTCCCGTTTCTCGTTCTTTTTTTAAAAAAAGGAGCTTGTTCTCGCTCCTTTTATCTTTAAAAAAAAAAAAAATCGTTCCCATTTCATATAGGAGTAAACGAAAATACGTTTAGGTTCCTCATAAATAGAAAATCTTTTCCGTTTGTTATTTCTATATTTGAAAAAGAACTCGTTCCAAGCTTGGTTCTTATGAAAGGAACGTATTCTTCCCAATACTCTATTATAATAAGTATATCAAATATTATATTGCATCGATAAATTATTTCGATTCTACTATAGAACTACTCAGTAGTAACTACCTTGTTATATGGCATCCATTCAGAGCCTTGTATTATTTAAAATGCTTAACAAGAAGACGAACAAAAGTAATTTTTACACTTAGAAATAGTTGAATAATATATGATGATTGTTTTTACTATGGTTAAAATCATAGCCAATTTTCATTAATTTCATAATTTAAATATAATATTTGTAAATCTGCAAATTTCGTTTCATACACTACGTGTACAAGCAACATATTTTATAAATTAAAAAATTACAGGTATATTTAATATATTTAAAAAAATTTAAAACCGAATATTATAACAGTTATCTACAGACTACAACATTCTAGGTTCAATAAAGCATGCTTACCTGATCTAAGCGTATCTTACGGCGTCTTATAGTATCCGAAATCAGAAGAAGTTCCTTCACCGTGGTCGTGATCTAATTCATTTAAGAAAATAATAATATTATTAAAAATGTCCATCAACTTCAAGGCACTGATACCGGTACGATACCGTCATGTATCAAGGCGTAGTCATTTTTGGGTCATCACCACAGTTATAAAATATAAGTACGACGATTTACACTTGCCTGCCTAGCCTATTAAACGAGATCCATATTGAAGTAAATAAAGTTCAATAAAGTTAGCCAAAAAAATAAAGCACTAATTTCCACTAGAGTACCAAAAAAAAAGGGAACTTACTATACCCTATGAAAATGTACAAGAAAACTTTTTAAAATGAACTACGGTAAATTACAATTCTTTGTTAGAAACACTTTTCTGAAACCTAATTTTTAGATTCCGAGCGTAGCGATTGAGCTATTGGTTTTACCAAGATATTTACTATTTTTTTTCTTTGTTTTTGGTTTTAGTCTATGGACACGTTTTTTCCTAATAACTTACTTCGATTTCTACGTATAGTAACTTTTCTGAAAGCTCAAGTTTTCTAGATGATACTTTAGACAGGTATTTTTTAAGGCACTTAAGTGGGAAAAAACGTAGGAAAACGTACAATAGTTAATCGTTGCTTACAGATATAAAAGAAATAACTTTATGTTTCCTACCTTCCCAACTTCTCACCTACAACAATGGTCGCTCCCATCCCCAGTGTCAGCTCTTTTTTTTAATTTTAAAACTATTTTAAAAATGGCCAAAAAAAAAAAAAATGGTGATTAAAAAATATTCAAAGAATATAGTACAGTTATTGAATGAGGATGAACTCCAATGGATTTATTATATTATGCTATTAGGAGTAATCCAGCCTTAACTCCAAAAAGTCAATTTGCTATGTATAAGCTCCGTATTTCAGAAGTCTCACTAACAATAATATTAATGAAAGTTTGTCCAATTTTTTTGTTAATGTCATTAATTGTTATTTGAAAGCATTTATACATAGTTCTTTCACAATTTGTATACATATGGATAGCTAAACAGATAAATTAAAATAAAAAAACCGGACGGGTGCGTCATTGTTGTAGCTAATGTTGTTGGTTAAAAGTCGGGAGGGTAAAATACATAGTTATTTAATTTATTTATACCTGTAAGCATCGATAAACAAAAGAAAAACGAAAAACGATTCGGAACGAAGTTCGGTTATATATGTTTTGAAAGGCAGTGATATTTAAAATTTTTATTTGGTAGATATAACAAATAAAAATTACATTAAAAATTCGCAAAATTAAAATGTATAAGTAATACATATAAGTAGCTCAAAAATAGATCAAATGTTATGAAAATTTTACAGCGTATAGCAAATAAAACAAATATAATATAAGTATTTGTCAAAATTTTAAGTCTCTACGAATATTTTTAACTGGATTACAACAAAAAAACAAAATTGAAAAATAATAAGAGCGTTATTTACGTAAATTTTCCTGTTATTTTTTTTTTCGGTTTTGTTCAATTATTAAAAAAACCACAGGAAAAATCAAACAACAATTTTCTAATTTACCAATTAAATTTAAAATGCAACAAAAAAAAATGTATCTTATCGTTTTTATATCTGAGGAATAGTTTTGCTACAAAACATCGTGTGTAAAAATTTAAAATAATGAAATCGTACGCCGTAATTTAATCGTTTATCATATTTCGTCTTTTTATGGTTTTCCCAATTATTATGAAACCAACTAGAAAAATCAAAAACGACATTTTCCATGAGCATCTAGATCCGAAATTCGACAAAAATGGTTTCTTGTTGTTTTTCTATTGAAACAATATTTCTGGTAGAAAAAATAGTTTTCAAAAATTAATAATATTTAACAACGCCCCGTAAATATTTGCCACTTAAATGAATTGGGTACATTTTAAATAATTAAATACAATTTATTAAAATATAAAGATATGGTCAAAATGTTTTCGTAAAAATAATCCGACCGTTGCAGGTCTTCTGTACCTATCTGCAACAGTAATAATCCAGATAATTAATACGTGATTGAATTTTCGATTATTTAACCAATTTTCACAAACTCATAATACTTTTAGATCCATAGCAACTATTATTAACATTATGATTAATGTATTGTTTGTTAGCAAAATGGTTATGGCCATTATATTTATTTAGTTACTAAACTAAATTGTATTCGTGTACGCTTCAATAAATAAAATGTTCGTATTTAATGAAGCAGACATGAATATCCTACCAATATTATAAACGCCAAAGTTTGTTTGGATGTTTGGTACTCCTTCACGCCAAAACAACTAAACGAATTTAGCTGAAACTTTACATTGATTTAAACCAGAAATAACATATATTATATTATAACTCATTTTCTTCAACTTTTAAATTGACATTAAATATTTTATATTTATTTTTTTCGTTCAAAACTGACACGGGAAAAAACGTGCGCAACAGCTAGTTATAATATAATAATATTATACTATTATAATACATATTGTGTTGATATCACCAATAACGACCATCAAGGCACCATTAAAAATTTGTCATTAAAAAACTTATTTTAAACGAAAAATGATAATAAATAATAAAAAGGTTTCCTGGGGTACTAAGGATAGGTGCAGCGGTTACTGTTATAGGTAATTTACAGGTACCATTATACATACCTGTTAGCAACAATGAACCATTGCTAACTAGAAAACTATTCTAAGCGACGATCAGTTGTTGTAATGCTTTGTCAAAAATATATATGTCATACTATGGTAAAATAAATAAATAGACATTAAATATTTTCTTAATGATAAAATTATTTTAATGAACCAATTTTCCCGTTTTTCCTACGTATTTTTCGGTTTTCCCATGTTTTTCCCATTTATTGATAAATATCCCGGAAAAAAGAACTTTTTAAAGTACCTTCCCAATAACAATTCCCTTCATAAAAAATACTTTCATTGTATATCGGAGCAAAATTGCTTGTAAAAATGTTATCCACAGAAAAAAAAATCATAATATATTTCGTACATTTTCCTGTTTTTCTTTACTTTTTATTGGTTTTTCATATTTGATGAGAAAATTGAGAAAATCAAAAAATTAATTCCCTAAAGCACCACCCCAAGAAAATTTCCTTTCATGAAAGGTGTTAACATAAAAAAAAAAAATAAACATCTTAAAACCAATACATTATTCACTCCACTCATAATCTAAAATATTTAATTATTAATTGTATTTTTTAAACTATTAATATACATACAACTCCCTGTGAGTAATCGATGGAAAGAATAATAGTTGAATACTCTGCTCAAAAATTTTTGTTCGTATTCGATATTACACGAGGACTCTACTTTTGAACTCGACTTGACTCGAAAAAATTAATATTTGACCCAATTCAATTCGATTTCAAAAACCAAAATTTGCCAATTTTCATTATCTCTCTCTATCTTTTTTCTTCAATGTCTATTTCAGTTTGCAACGTATTTTTCAAAATAAGAAATAGTTACCACTGGCAAATATTATTTTCTATAGAATTCATAAAATAAAAAAGTATAACGAGTTCACTTTATCCAAACAACGATTTATCTTATCCAATCATAAATATACTCTGTCGTTATTACCGACGTGATATTGGAATTTTTACCATTTTTACTGTATATTATGTCATTAATAAAGTAGCGTCGCAATAACCTATTATATTTTGCTACGTTTATAGACGTCTAGTCGTTACTAAAAATATGGCATTTTAGTGACGTTATAGGTCTACATACTGACGCATATTGTATTATATATATTAATTAATTTCATTTGGTTTCATTGTTATAAATTACTAATTTATCAATACAAATCAAATTTGATAGTTTTAGATTCTGAGTGGAGCGAAGAAGCGTATAGTTCTACAAATATGTTTAAATTGTTTTTTTTTTCATCTTTACGCAGCTTTTCTAGTAATCTATTACTAGACTAGCTTGGATTTCTACGTGTAGCAACTTTTCTGAAAGGAACTTTTTTTCGGCGTTAGGAGGTACTTTAAAGAGGTCATTTTTCGATTTTCTCAGTTTTCTAAGCAAATGTGCAGGATAAAACATAGGAAAACCGGAAAAAATGTAGGAAATTTAGAAAAATCGATACAAAATTACACAAATATTATTAAAGAAAATATATAAAACCTTTTTAATTATTTTACTATAAAATGACATATATATATTGTTGTTAAGCATCATTATCAACTGAACTCCGCTCAGAATCGTTTTTTCGTAAGCAATAGTTTATCGTTGCTCACAGGTATACGTTTAATTATTTATAAAAGTTGCTGCACCCGTCCCCATTATCCTAGAACGTCTTTTCTTATAGCTGCTATTTCGTTGATGAATTAACCCCTATCTTTTATAATGAAATATATTATAAATGTATAATTATTATTGTAACGTAATTAAATATGTATGTAAAACCTCGGATTACGAATTTATAATAATATATAGTACCAACAAAAATAAGTAAGTATTTAATTTAATGTAGTATAAATAGATAAAAAAAAATCTATGCCAGAAAGTTGAAAAAAATAAGAACTAATATTATTTTTAGTTTTTACTTACCAATGACGTATTTATGTTTGTGTGTGACAATCACGGGCTCGTATATTTCGAATATTTCCGTGGCCGACTGACAATTGTAATCATTGTCGTAGTCACCTCCGGCTTGAGGATTTTCATCACTACTAACCGAATCTTCGGGAGATTTACACTGTTCGTTTAAATCGTTAGCTTCGGTTATCTCAGACGCGTCCAGATCTGTAGTTGTTTGGTGAATTTTAATGGATACCTTTAACAAAAATTGTTTGAATTATATTATTATGACAATAAAATTAAATTGCGCAATTTGTCATTAACGGTCAATAACTATTTTAATGTAAGTATATCGTACCTTATTGTCTCGTGGACCTTTCTTCTGGGGTCGTTCCAAGAAAGTAAAAAAAATAAACACAATATAATTTTTCTTGTATAAATTCAAAAAGATTAAGTACCCAATTATTAAATTCTATTTTGTTTCTCAACTCGATCGTTTTATTTACCTGCAATGAAAATCGTCTATGTGGCAATTTTTTTCCACCTTTCCGTTTAGATATATGAGGGTTTTTATTGCATACATTTTTATCACGCAGCAAACCCAATTGTGTATAGACACGATTAAATTCTTCCTAAAATTAAATTTAAGAAAAAAATGAAATTCAGTTTATTCGATAAAATGCAAAATACCATATATTAAACATTTATATTCCGTAATATACTAGGTGATTCATTAAAGTGGATAGACTCATTAAAAGTATTAATTTTTGCCGGAATTTGTTTTCTAGAACATTTAAGAAACAAGCCACTTTACGATTTTAGTTTTGTTTTTTTTTATCACTCTTATTTTTGGGGGTAAAACAACTACCTACTTTTCAAATGATAATCTGTGTTTAAAAAATTCCATAAATAGATTGAGTATTAGTTAAAATATATTTTAGTATTGACATTTTTCATTTCTGTCTATTCGTTGACGAGATATTACACTTTTGAGTTTTGGTTGGAGGAGAGTAGCGAAATATCCATTGTGTGGTGGTACTGCGCACGGCGTGTTAAGAATGCATCACTACAGTCCTCCAATCTAAAATTTAAAGTGGTATATCTCGTCAACGGCTTGACAGAAATCAAAAATGTCAACACTAAAATATATTTTAACTAATACTCAATCTATTTATGGACTTTTTTAAATACAGGTTGTCATTTGAAAATCAAAATTAGGTAGTTGTTTTACCCCTCCCCCCCAAAAAAAATAAGAGTGACAAAAAATAACACAGATATAAAATTGTGAAGCAGATTGTTTCTTAAAGCCCCCATACACGATCAAACAATTTATGCAACCACTATGTTTGCGCAAAAACATGATTGTGCAAACACACGTACATAAACGTTCAAACGGCTTGTGTGAACCTCAGTACGTTTTTGTATACGTAGACATAATGTCCGACACAGAAATTGCTTGCGCTGCGATAATTATTGGATGTTTGACGGAAAAGAAAATAGAAAGCAGAGAATATGAACGTAGGAAAAAAGTGGTTAAAAAAGAGAACAGAATTTGGTTATGATCGATTAGTTAGAACTCAGAACTCAAAATGCGTTCAATAGTAGACTACCAAAACTGTCTTAGAATGGATGCAGATACGTTCGGGGAGTTGTTAGAAATAATAATAATGATAAATATTAATATTTTAATTAATGCTTAAAAAAGTAAAAGTAATAAAAAAGAATAAAGAAAATTCGGCACTTTAAATGAACACAATAAAATGATATATTCATCACTGACGCTTGTCAAACATCGACATAGACGTTCAAACCGCTTATCAATCACCGGGCGTTGCACAAAATATTTCGGTCTCGACCGAAAACCGCAACTCTGGTTTCAAAACATTGCGCAACTACTCGATCCATTCCATACACTATCAAAATGTTTGCACAAACATAGTAGTTTCACACATTGTTTGATCGTGTATGGGGGCCTTTAAATGTTCCAGAAAAACGAATTCCGGAAAAGTTAATTATTTTTCGAGATAATGAGAGTATCCACTTAAATGAATCCTCTGGTATTTTAATCTTTAAACTAATGCAAAATTCGTTAAACGTTATTTTCCGTGCGTTTATAACAACAATATTATTACTACAAATTTAAAATAAATTTATTGTTCAAGAGTTACAAAAAATATATACTTATGCAAATAAATACAATATATAAAAATGTATACATGTGTTATAAGCCAATGTAATATAATAGTTGTATAACGGCCTCAATGTTTACGTCAAAGCCATTTAAATTTAATGATGAAGAATCCATCCAAATTCAAAGATTTGAACTAGTGAAATGTATTTGTATATTATTAAACCATACGGTTATACATTTGCGGAAACGTACGTTTCGAGGGTTTATTAATTGTAATTTATTTTTAACTATTATAATATTATCCTCGGAGTAGTCTTAGTAGTACCAACTTTTCAGCCCGTAACGTCAACAACGAAAACACAAAGTGGTTTCACTCTCCGGGTAATTTAACTAGAATAGTTATAAAAATATAAACACGAATAATTACTCGGATTTCGTCTGGGGTCATTTCTGCAATGTTTAATTCTCTAATATCGCCATCGATCAAGTCGGGTTTCAATGTTTCAACGATTTCCGGGTTTAAAGCGGAAAGGCGAAGTTCAGCGTTTACTTTTTTTTGGTACCACACCTAAAACAAAAAAACTTTCTCAGTTTAAAACTATATAAATTATAACTAATACACTCGTAAAACACATATATTTTAATAATATTTATATCATGTGTAATGTGTATAATAGATACACATATTATATGAACAGGCACCAAAATCGAAAAACGTATTTGTATGCTCACTTGCCCGACTAAATTACACTACTTGCCACTCGGGAGTAATGTGGTAGTGGAATAGTGGATCCGCCTCAGTCGAATTAATCGTAATCAAATGTGTAATAAAGTCGTATTTCGTGTTTTTTTATTTTAAATATTGACGAAAATAGTAAAAATCACAGTATTTTAAACAGCTTTAACTGAACTACGCTCAGAATCATATTGGGTACTTGACAATAATTTATCTCTGCGTAAAAAGATAATTTAATAAATACTATGTGTGTAATAATTAATAAGTATACTACTTCCCAAACATCCCACCAACAAAATTGGTACATCCATCAGCAGCATAAGTTCTTTTTAAATTCGGACCATAGCAAGGGATTTAATGGTTTCATTATAATGTATGCTATTTTTATTTTTATTTTTTAAGTCTGTGAACAACTTTTCAACCTAAAATCTTGTTCCAATTATCAAGTGTAGCACCTTTTCTGAAAGGTAATTTAATCTAGTTGGTGCATTAGGAAGATCAGTTGAGAAGGTCGATTTTCCAAATTTTTGAAAGAAAACTATTGGTAAAACAGCAAATATTTACGGTGCACTGCGATGTTACCGTTTTCATTGATTTGAGCTCTTACATCTTATGTTTTCTACCAGAAATATTGCTCCAATTGATTTTATTTTATTTAATATTTAATCGCTGACAAATAAAATCGGTTGTAATATTTAATGTAGTTTGCGTAATAATTGAGATTAACCTAAAAATACGATTTTTTTAAAAAATTTCGGAGCAACGATTTCATTTTTTAAAATGTTTAAAATTATATTTTTCTAACAGAAATCGTTGTTTAAAATTAAAGAATAGCATATTTTATCTATTTTGATAATGATAAAGTTGTTTGATTTTCCGTAATATGTTTCTAATAATTACGAAAAGCCAGGAAACATAAGAAATACGGTAATGATTACGAAATTTAGTTTCTTTTTTTTTTGTTCTTTGGTTTGAAAATTATTATAGAGACCTACAGTTTTCACAAAGATTTATATTGACCTTTTGTATACGTGATACAGTTTTCAAAACATTCGAGTCATTTTTAGGCTATTTATAGGTATTTGATATTTTCTTGTTTTTATGTATTTTTATTTTGTAGGCACCTTTTATTCAAACTATATGACTTTAAAGAAAAGATTAAAAATTTAACACAAGGTATATTATACGTTTTAGTTAGTGGTCTAAAAAACAAATTTAAGTTTAATGCATTAGTTTTCTTTTTGTTTTTAACATCATATTGTGACAAAAATCCTAAAAATTACGGCGTTTTAAAATATGTATAACCTAACATTCGCTCCGAATAGTTGTTCGTTAATAATGATTTATATTTGCGTACAGATACAAATTAAATGATTTTATGTATCCTAATTGCCCGACTTCTAACCTACAACATTTCCTGCACCCATCCCCAGTATCAATACTTTTTAATCAATTAATTAATTACATTTCCTTTTGCACTTAAAACAAATTATTTAAGATCTTTTAAAATATTACGATATTTACATTATTGTAAACATACAGTTATTTAAAAATTTACATTATTTATAATCAACATAAAATATTTCGATACATTGTAAAATAATAAATGTACCAATATTATTTAACGTAAGAAATTATTATAAATTAACGGTCAACATTTTTGTTTACCGTATCGGTCAAAACCCCCTCCCCGAAATTTCGTCCTTCACTAAATTTGTTTAAATGAAGTTTACAGTCAGCAGCATAATATCTTAATAATGTAATTTAATTTCATCAAAAATCAATTATTCCATGATAATATTAATAGTATAGTACTGATAATATGGGCTTTATAGGAAATTATTAAAAGTACAACCCGGTTGCCGTGGCCGTTCTGGGAGTGAAAATAATATTAGATTCCGAGCGTAGCGAGGGGCTATTGGTTTTACCGAGATATTTATTTATTTTTTCTTTGTTCTTTGTTCTAGTCTGTGGACACGCTTTTTCCTAGTAAACTTGATCCGATTTTTATGTGTAGTAACTTTTCTGAAAGCTCAAGTTTTCTAGATGGTACATTAGGGTATCTTAGAGGTATTTTTTTTTTTATTTTCGACACCATTTTTTAAATAAAAGCACCTAAGTGGGAAAAAACGTAGGAAAACGTACAATTTCACTATTTCATTAGTTTATAAAAAAAACACGGACGACGTTTTCTACCAAAAAAAAAAAATAATTTAATCGAAAAATAACAAGATATCTTTTTGATTTACTTTCTGACTGTATCGTCGTCAAAACTTTAGAGCTTTTAAGGAATTTTAATTTTTGGAAGTTTGTTTGCTGTTATTCGGTTATAAACACACGTAGAAACTTGAAACTTATTAATAATACTTATATTGGACTTACCTAGACGTGGGAATAATTCTAAAATTATCGGATGACTTTTTTTTTTTTACTAAGCATTTTGAAATTAAATTTAAACCAAAATCACAAAAAAAATGACGGCACTTCAAATTATGTATTACCAAACTGCGCTCGGAATCGTCTTTCGTCAAGCAATAGTTAACCGTTGCTTACAGATATAAAAGAAATAACTTTATGTAACCTACATTCCCAACTTCTCACCTACAACAGTGGCCACTCCCATCCCCAGTATCAGCTCTTTTTTTATTTTGAGTCTTGTTATTTATTTCAAATTCATTTTGGTTTTTTTGTTTTTTGGAAATATCCATTTAATATATTACTTATCTATACTGTATACATTTATACATATTTTGGCCACAGCCTAGTTAGCCCAAGTTGTAGTTCCACAAATGATTACCGTTATTTTTCGTCACTCTTACTTTCGGGGATGAAACCCTTACCCATTTATGATTTTCCAATAGTGACCTATATAAAAAATGCCTTAAATAATATGAAGTTTTAGTTTAAACCGATTTTATAGTTATATTATTTAATTTCTGTCAACATGTAAACTATCAATATCAGTTTAACAAAATATGCCACTTTTAATTTTTTCATTTTGTAGATAAGAAGAGAATAGTAGTGCTAGTGGCATAGCTATAATAGGGAAAAGCACTAGGATAGCATAGAGCAGATCGGGACAGTGCCTAATGCCTCAGAACTCAGGAAGCCTCTGTGTTTCTTGGTTCTTAAACCACGTAGTTATTATTTATTATTATTTCGCTTTAGGCAACAGTACAAATAGAATATACATATGAGTAAAACAAAAGGATTAACTTGATATAAAATAATATAAGATTAACATTAAATAATAAAATAATAAAGTAAAAATTAAATTATCAAAATAGTTAATACTCGTAAGTAAATACATAAATAAAAATGTATAGATAAAAAATAAAATATTACGGTCAGCCGTATCCGGTATGGATCGATTAGGTATAGATCTTCCCTCACAGGACTTGCGAAATCTCTGATTGAGAAACAGAAAACTAAAGCCCAAACTCTTAATAACGCTCCCGCACCCTAAGGAGATCCAATTAGCTTACGTAATAATCTATTTCTTGTATTAATTTTTTCACAGTGTAATTTATATGTTAATGACCTGTCTAGTATGACAGGTCATTAACACTAGAGAAAATTTACTTTGTGTGTCAAATATAGAACTCGCCACAGATATTTATACGTTGAAGATATTTATGGAAATATAGATAACCGTTAATTTATAAACAAATATTTTCGTTTTGCGTTCGTGATCAATACGTGCATGATTAACCGTATACTAGTATTTCCACCATCGGTTTATTATTTTTAATGTTTATACCTACATCTACTATTGACACAAATCGCTGGGGTGCTAACGATTAAGGATTAGTACTCTAAATGTTAATGCTAGTACCCGAATCCCATGATTATAATTTAAATACCAGAATATTTCTATACAAATTCCATTAATTGAAAAAATAAAATCAACTATTTGTTTTTATAATATAATTGATTCGTTTATGTCTGGATATATTTAACAGTTATGAAGTATACGTATGGTGACCATATATAAAAAAACAAAAAAAAGTACATTTTAAAATTTAGGTCCTCCATTATCAAAATATCCTCCCTTGAATGAATTGGTCAGTTGGCCAATCACGATCATGATCGACTGATCGATCTTTCTAGGAATATAGGTCAATCGTAATAAAAATTAATTTTACCATTATCGGTCCACCATGTTTTAAATAATCAGATAATAAAATATTATTTTTGTAATCTTCAGCACTATGATACCTTACATAGAAGCACGCAAGTACTCAAAAATACTCAAATATACGATATATTGCTCCTATAACTTCATTTTTGGTTTAACTCGACTACGTGGGTCAATATTTTCGAGTACGATGTATTCGAAGAAAAAAATACGAGTACATCGATCAAGAATGACAAACAAAAATTTGCATTCAAGTTTACGAGCAGCTGTTTCTAATTACACACCTGAATTCTCAAAACTAGCAGAGAATCAATGTAAACTATCACATAATTTATAAAAAAAAATGTTTACATATTGTTCACATAATAAAGTTAACTTTAAAAATATAAGACATAGATATATACGGAGTGATCAATCTATCGTAAGACACTCATGATCTCGGAAACAATTAACTTTTTCCGGAATTTATTTTCTAGAAAATTTTCAAAACAATCTGCTCTACAATTTTAAATGTATGTTATTTCTATCATCCTTATTTTTAGGGGTAAAACCACTACCTACTTTTGATTTTTAAAGACAATCTATAATAAAAATTCAATAAATAGACGGAGTATTAGTTAAAATAAACTTTGGTGACATTTTTTATTTCCGTCAATTCATTAACGAGATATTTCACTTAGTTGTGGTTGGAGGAGAGTAATTATCATTTGTATGGCGGTCGGTGCATGGCGTGTTTGTAATGAACCAACTCTCTCGCCAAACCCAAACTTAAAAATGGAATATCTCGTCAATGGATTGACGGAAACCAAAAACTTGAACACCGACGATTATTTTAACTAATACTTCATTTATTTATGGAATTTTCAATATAAGTAGCCATTTGAAAATCAAAAATAGGTAATTTTACCTTTGAAAATAAGGGTGACAAAAATAACATAAATATAAAATTGTAGAACAGTTTGTTTCTTAAATATTCTAGAAAACAAATTACGCAAAAAGTTAATACTTTCCGAGATTACGTGTGTCTTACGATAGATTGATCACTCTGTATAATATATAGTATATACTATGTACAATGCATACCTACTTTATACTGAATGAATTTAAAAATATAAATAATATGCCCGAAATCTAAATAAATATATTATGTTGATCATCTTAGTCCAGACTTAAAATTTTGAATGTCACTCACTAGTTGGAAAAGGTTGGCGACCCCTGACTAAGCTATAAAGCAAATTTAATTTGCCTTATTAATAATTGAACAAAATCGTAGATAGAACCGAAAAATTTACAAAAATAATAATTTTTATTATCTTAAATTATATTTTTTGTAATAATTCAATTAAAAATATTCGTAGACTTGAAATGTTGACAGAAAACTTAGAGGACACTCTAAATAACGGTCAAAATATAACATAAAATAATAGTCAAGTTGTGTTTGAAATTTAAATTTGAATTTTGTAGTTTACCCAAATATTATTTATGGCAGTTTATAGGCATTTTAATTTTGCGAATTTTGTACGCAATTTGTATTTAATAGGTACCCTATAGATAAAATATTTAGAATAAACAATAATGTATGGAAATTCATTAAGAAGTTTATTTCGAAAATAAAAAATACAAAGTAATACTATTTTAAGTTTTAAAATCAAATTTTGTCAGAAATCATACATATTACACCGTTTCAAAACATACATAACCGAACTTTGCTTCAAATCGTTTTTCGTTAGCAATTGTTTTCCGTTGATTACAGGTATAAACTAAAAAACTTTGTGATTCTGCCTTCCCAACTTCCAACTTACAACAGTGGTATACCCGTTCCCAGAATCAGCCATTTTTTTTGTGACTGTGTGTGTGTCTGTGAGCAAATTTCAAACAGATAATTGCTCCAATGTATCTGGTGTAGTACTTCTCTGAAATCACATTTTATCTAGTTGTTGCATCGGGATGGATTTTTTTCATTTTCCAAGGGGTTTTCAAAAATAATTGGGGGGAAAAAAACAAACGACAAATATTTATGGTACGCCGCGGCATTATCACTAGTTATACTAGTACGCCAACAATCGTATAACAACAATTGTAAGACGAGTACTCTAGCACACTAAAAACCAGTACCTTACCATGATGTCTGCTAACGTTTGATAGTTGAAAATTAGAAAGTTTCGTAATCGTCATAGATATATACCTAATAACTATATATATGTGGTGTTTGTAAGTAAGAATAGAATGATAACCACAAATAAAAAGTTCTTCAGGCCCAGGAAGCAATTCTAGCGCGATTCCCTTTAAGCGCGGTGGGGGCAAATAAACAGGAAAAATAAATTATTTTATACCCTTAATAATATAACTCTATACATTGTGTATAATCAAATGTATAAATGTATTTTATACATCTTCGTATCATTACGTATACGTACCTTCGGTCCGAAAATGATGAGCAGAGCGAAGTGGTTGGTTAACATGCCACGGACAATCGCGACGACGAATTTGATATTCTGGAACATTGAGATTGGGTAGAGGGCACGGATGGCGTAGAATATGGAACTAAAAGTCAATTCGGTGGTTATGGCGTAGTAGAGGTAATGGCGTTCGTCGAACAGCACGTTGGCGTTTCGGGCCGAATACCCGTAGTAGAAGCCCACGGCCAACACCATGAGTTCAGCTATAAACATGCAAACACGATTTTTGTCTAAGTAAACACACATGATATTCAAGGACCTAAATTAACCATGTATCAGACGTTTCATTATGACGTGCCCCGTATACTTGATACATTAGTACCTCCTAACATGAAATTTAATGGGCGAATTTATAGAGACCAGTCTCGCGGAATAAAGGAAATAGTGTAAAGTGGGAGACGCGTCTCAGTCGTTTTCGTCAAATATTGTTTGGTAACCATGCACCTAAAGTAATACCTTATATTAATAATAATATAATTTATCACAGTCAATAAGTTAATAATAAAACTAATAAATTAGTTTTAAAAAAGCTGTCGTAGGATAATAGGGATGAGTGCTGCAGTAGGTGAAAAGTTGGAAAGGTAGGAAACAAAAGGAAATTTAATGTAAATCTGTAAACGATAAACCAATACTAACAAAAAACCGATTCTGAGCGAAGTTCAGTTGATAGTGATGGTTTTTTGACAATAAATATGCCGTATTATAGTAAAATAATTAAATAGACATTATATATTTTCTTTAATAATATTTGTTTAATATTGATCCGAATTTCCCCGTTTTCCCATGTTTTTATCCGGTTTTTCACATTTGCTGGGAAAACTCTTAGGAAAATCGAAAAATGACTACCCTAAAATATCTTCCCAGTCTGGTTTCCTTTTAGAATAGGTGCTGTCAGAAATTGGAGCAAATTTTCTAGTAAAAAAATTTTTTACAGGAAAAACTAAGACCAAAATATTTTTAAACTTATACCTAAATTTCTTACTTTTTCCTTAGATTTGTTTTTTGTTTTTCATATTTGTTGAGAAAACTCCTGAGAAAATCAAAAGATTACCTCCCTAAAGTACCTCTCCAGTCCGAATTTCTTTCGGAAAAAATGCTACACTTAAAATTCGGAGCGAGATCTTTGGTAGAAAAGTTGCCCACAGAAAAAAAAATAAACATTTTTATTAAATCATTCAGAATTTATTGAGAATCTAAAAATCACATAACAGCCATTATATTTAAATATTTTAAAAGGTTAAAGTAAATTAATACGTAACACAAGTAATAATAATAAATCTTTAGGTATAGTAATAATAATATAAGTTGTTACAGACAATAATTATTATTAATATAGTAAAAGTTTAAAAAAATCACATAATTAAATGAAACCGTTCTAATAAATATATACCTATTGATTTCATTAGATTTTTTTATTATAATTGTTTCTATGGTAGTTTTTAATCTTTTTAATATTTTTTCTGGTTGAAATGTAGTTTACAATCAAAAAAAAAACACACATATAATAAAACCAACACATCCATTGCTCCGCTCAGAATTTAAATATAAAAACACATCAGGCAATGATGGTTCTTATCTTCTAAGCATACGATTAACGTGCCGCCGCTACAATTTCTTTAATATTGTCACAGTGCGTCGTGGTGGCGGCGGTTTATTGCACGTCCGTTTTGTCCTCGCCATCTACGTATATGAACATTCGACGAAACAACAAATTTACAGACCCTGATATTGCGCGCCTATTGATTTTTCTACCCCAAGGGTTCATTATATTATTATTAGTATTTATATAGATGGTATTTAAACCTCCCTCGGATTTCAGTAAGTATATTTTCTACAATATTATAAATGAATAGGACGATACATACACGTTCAAATTTCATCTGCACTAACCGATGAAAACCCGACTAGAACTACTTGATCAGCAGGCTATCATATAATAATCGAATCGAATGATTTTCGAATACATTTTTTAAGAGACTGCATGACGCCACCGTAAACTTACCAAGTTCCGTGATATGATTCCACCATTGCGGTTTGCAAGCAACGGTTTTGGCGTCCTGATACAATAGTTTTCCGCCCTCGTAGAAAAAGTCTAGACACACCGTGGTCCAAGCGAGTAAGTAAATGACGGTTACTGTCACGGCAAACGACAGATATCTGAGCAAATCCCTGTCTCTTATCACCCAGCAATGGGCTTTCCTGGTACGGAACTGCTTCAGTATCCTGTATAATACGAAACGGACAAACCGAATATTTAATATTATGCTTTTAGAAACAGATCAGGTATTTATATATAATATCGACATCGAACTTTACATAATAGAAGCTGATAATCGAACTAATACTAGCAGATCTGATGTTGGGGACGAAAATATAGTTGACAAGACTTCACCGTAAAATATATTGTATAACGTTTTGTTAAATTTAAGTATATACTGAGTATCCCACGAAGACATAACCATTGCAATATATCCTGAGATAATAAATATACCTAATCAAATTCTAATTTTTTTTTTTATGTTACTCATATGAATGAGGACTATAAATATTTATATTTGAGTTAAATATTTATATTTTGGTAAAAAAACTAAAAAATAAATTTTTATTTTATTATTTTTGAAAACTTTAAAGATTGTTATTTTATACTTTCTTAAAGTTTTATCGGTTCAATTTTTCATTTTCACTAAATTCGTGATATTAATAATTGTTTAAAGTTCAGAGAAAATTACTTATAATTATGCAGCAGGCTATAATCCTATTCGCTAATTGATTATTATTATTATGGCTAATTGACTGTACACTTTTAGATTCGGAACGTAACGAAGAATGTATTGGTAATTTAATTTTAATTAAATTAAATTTAAAATTAATTACTAATTTTCTTTTTCTGCGAAAAACTTTTTACCGTCAATCTTGCTCCGATATAGTAGATGTAGCACCTTTTTTAAAAGTAAATTTTATCTTCTTATTACAATAAGATTTTTTTGATTTTTCAAGTGGTTTTCATAATAATTGAGGAAAACCGGGAAAAAATTTAGGAAAAACGGGAAAATGTACGTACATTTATAAATGAAACTTCCCTCCAAATGGTTTATCGTCGCGTTTAGAAATAAATTTAATTCCCTTCTACCTTTCAATTTCACTTACAACAGTAGCCCACTATCGTGCTAAGTATGTCAGTCTTTTTTATCTGAACTTAAAAATTAATTTAAAATCACGAATTTAATGAAAATAAAATTTGATACGTCAACATTATACCAACATCATACTAAAACATAAAAAATTAATTGAAATATAAATTTTAGTAATCCTTATCCCTGTAAGTAATATTAAAAAAAAAAAAAAACAAAAACAATATTTGATTAAGTTTTTTATCTTCGGAGATATTGCAATGAGTATATCTTCCTGGGACACTGTATATTTTATAATATATATATATATATATATATATATATATATATATGTATATATCACGGCTAAAGTCCGAAACATGGCTAACGTATACCATTATCTATACTAGTTGGATAATGTAAACATATAAAATTTAAAATCATAGTTTCGTACATTAACCATTGAAGGATAGATGAAGTAAATGGTAAGAAAAAATGTGCAAAACTTGATAGGTATTATATTATATTTTCAACAGCACTAAATGAAAGATATGAAATTACTAATGGTGCTCTTTTTATGACGTAAAACCCGTACAAAGATAAGATGGCATTTTAACTTGCTATAACAATAATAATAAATAATAGTAACAATACACCATAACACTATCTCTCACTACCACTTATCTGGCAATCATTTCATCGTAACCGTTCGATGTTTATTTTCCCATATTATATTAAGGGTACTTATCTACCTAACCTATAATAAAACGTCAGTTCAAATTGAATTGTGTTTGGAGTGGAACGTGGAGGTATAATGTGTTCAAAAAATAATTTGTACGTGTGTTTAATAAATTAATTGCATTAAAAAGCAAAATTAGATTTATTTATCTCAAAAAAATATTCAGAATTAATATTAGAAATTAAAAACGCGAAATCAAACCGAGCACAGATTACCAACGTTTAAAAAAATACGATGTAGTAACTATTAACGGGGAAGACAAATATATTGATTTATCCTATAGACAGTGATCATTTCAACAGTCTACTACTACGTTCAAAATGAAAGTATGTACGATATTGTTCATGAAATGCATAATAGTATAGGGCAAGGGGAGAAACACAGAATGATTGCTGAGACAAAGAAGAGGTATAAAATTATCGCACAAGAAATTGTATTAATGTATTTAAAGATTTGTGAGCCTTGCCAAATGAAGCAAAAATGTAAAAAAAAAATCAAAAAAGAATTTGATACGATTCTAAATGCCATGAAAGTTTACCTTGTGTAAATAAATAATGAAAATTTGTTATTTAATAAATAAAATTGATAATATCTAATACATAAATTTTGTATCTAATAAAAATAAATTTAATATTGCATAAATTATATTTTAATATTTCACTGTTAATTTATATTAATTAATTTTATTAAAATTAATATATATTATGAATTTATTAATAATATTTTATGTTAGCCATAACACGATGGCTAAAGTTACTTTAGCCGGATAATGCATACATAATCCATTTCATAACAGTTTTTATTCACGGCAAAAGTCCGAATTCGGATAATGCGCATGTTATCCAAATTCGAACTTAAGCCGTAACATATACATATATGTATTTTTATACAATTTTGTTTTAATTCGTACGATATTTTACAATATTCTAATATATTTCAAAAATAGTTGATATACTATAATACGAAAAAGTACCTAATACGATTCGATGTAATACAATTTTCTAAAATGTTTGTTAAAACTATATAGATAGTTCAGAAACTTTTCTACTGGGGAAAGAATGATATCTGGTAAACTTGTCTACATAGCTCAGTCAAAATAGCAAAAACAAATGTTAACTTCGTAATAATTAGTACCTTAAGTGCACCATCATATATGAAAATCTCAAAAGCTGTCAACGATCCTACTCTTGCTAAAATTTGTATTCGTTTTTAATTGAAATAATTGAAAATACAAATAAACAGCACTATCATGTTTACGAGTATATAACACATCGTACCGTATAATATTATATACCATCGTTACCACCACTGTTTGAAAACGACTCCGGCAGCACGGCGATTAGAACGATTATTGCTAGTGTTCAGTGATAATTATTTTCTATTAAAATAATATTTTTATATTATACTTGTTTGGACCGTTTATAATAATCAAATAAATGTATTTAATAGATTTATTTATGTAAATTTATTCGTGTAATCTCAGTCGCGCATTCGAACATCGACGAGTATACTTTAGTTTTAGTACTTTGCATTTCTTTGACATGATCATTACTATACGTGTTTTTAATTTTCAGTTGGAGTTTATGCTATAAAAATGATTTTAAAATACAGCAAATTTGATTAATTTGTAATAAACATTTTAACGAAATTGAAATTGTAAAATATTTTAAATTTATGAAGATTATAATTGTTTTAAATGTTGAAATCCCAAGCTCTTGAATTTACTACTATTTGTAACCAAAAAAAAAAAGTATACAGCTTTTTTTTAGATAATCGTCTGATCTAAAAATTTCGAGATTTTTTTTATAAAAACACTTACAGTTTAAGAGATAATTGAGAAAAACCTATATTTGCGACGTTTGATCTTAAATGATATTTGTAACAACAGAGTAATTATTGGGGACTTTTACAATTTTATTTATAATGATGTACTTAAGGTCTGTACCAACGTTCAGCTTTATGCGAATTATTTCCCGAAGTTGAATGTTTATTTTTACTGGACTAATAGTCTCTACAGTGATTTACCTGTATAATTTCAAATCGATTGCCCCGTAGCAAATGACGAATCCTAATTCCCGCAGCCAAGACGTCATTAAACACAGGGGTACAGTCGGCGTAAAATACTGCAACACCACCTGAAAATTAAAATGAAAACGACGCCATCGCCACTATTAATATTATATTATTTGATAAATAATAAACAAAAATTACAAATCTTATGGTAGTAAATTTTAATATTTTTTTTAACCAACAAACAATTTTGATTTTTGGTACCGTGTATATATGCGTTATATCACGTTATATATGCGTTTCAACGTTTCCAGTTCAAAAAAAAAAATGAATATTAAGGACGGGTGTATCACTGTAGTAGGTAGGAGGTTGGGAAGGGAAGATATTATATAAAGTAATTTCGTCCTGGTTTCATATATGTATTATATATGAATGATAATCAAACAATTAACTAATAAATAATCAGAGAAGTCAAAATTAATTATTTAAATTAATAGCAATGAATGAATAATTAACCAGAACAAACATGGTGTTAATGCACGCGTATAGTGCACCAACGCGAAATATTTTAATAGTAATTTATACGAACGAGACAATAACTGAAACCCGGCATATACAATAACACTAATAATTATTGATAGTAGAATATCATAATAAGTGAACTTCTGTTCACTTATTTGTTTATACACACAGCTTAATCAATTTCTACTAAGGGTAGACAACATTACTACAGTCATACTCTAAGAACAGAATTAGATGTCTCCAAAAAACAACCAATAATAGACTGATATAGTTACCAGGGGATGTTGAGCAAATGTATTTTAATATTATATACTTACTTCCACGTCCATTATTAAGGAACCCAATATGATCGTACACAATACGGTCCACATACTCGATGAAATCGTCTGCAGAAAAAAAAATAGTTATTCCGTAAATGTTATTTCTGGTTTTTCATACCAAAGCTAAAATTCACAAACTACAAATCATAAAAAAATCCAAAAAATATCTATACAATTTCCATGATTTTTTGTTGCTTCCATTTGAAAATTCAAGGTAAGTTGTTCAATTTTTAAAATTTATTTTTAAAACAACCATAAATATGTATAAAAAAATCAAATTTTTCAAATTTTATCTAAATTTAAAATTGTTTAATTAAAAAAGTTAAAAAAATTAACTAATGATTAAAATAATATACTTATAGTACCGCTTATCGTATTTTTAACGATACTAGTTTGATTTACTATCACTTGCAACAAGTTAAATAATGATTTATTATAAAAGACATTCGGCGTTGAGAAGAAGAGAGGAATACGTTTTTTTTTTTTACCCTTCTTGCACCAAGCCACAGTATATATTGTCTAATTTACTTTGAGTAATAGTAATAATTCATAACACCTAGTCAATATAATAGTTGTGCATATTTCTTGGTGTTTTTTGGCTAACGCAAAACGATTTTGGGCAGAGTTCAGTTATATATATTTTAAAAGGGCCGTAATATTTACGATTTTAAAATAATACATTTCGTACATTTTCTCGTTTTTCCAACGTCTTTATCGTTTTTTTTCATTTATTATGAAAGCCCTTGGGAAAATCAAAAAAAAATAATTTTTTTTAAGTACCAAGTTAGGTAAATTTCCTTTCAAAAAAAATGCTACACTTACAAATCGGAGCGGAATTTCTGGTAAAGAAGTTATTCACAGAAAAAAAATTAATAAAGGTAGAAAAACTGTACAACCAATAAATTCCTCGTTTTGCTCAGAATCTAAAATAGTGAAACATCGACTTTAAAAAAAATGAATACATTGGTTTGAATCAAATTAAAATAATAAAATGCAGGAGTACATGATTTTAGTGACTAATACCCACCGAGGTAATAATACACGCGCATGCGCAATCATATTTGGTACTAGACCCTCTTAACGGGGGGGGGGAGGGCAGGAAAATGTTAACTATATGTATTAGTTCACATTTTTAGGTTAGTAATACCTACTATTAAAAAACAGCATGCATTTTGTGTACATATTCTGTTCTATGAACATAGTTAAAAGGTTATCTAAACGTTCCTGCAACATACCACTACCAAGTTTAGTTTTTACTGTGCTCAATTTTGAAAATAATCTTTCTCATGAATAAGTCGTCACAGGAATGACCATGAATGATTTTAAAGCTCTAAATACATTACAAAATTTAACTTCTTAAAAGGTCCTATCACGGGATAGCTTCCCTGCTCCACGTTTCCCAGTCATTTATCATTCTTGTTCACTAATTTACTTAATGCAATTTGTTTTATGTACAGATTGTATATTTTGTATATTTTTTTCAATAAAAAAAAAAAACAAAACTTCTCTGCTGGTTCCAGAGATAGTTTACCAATCAATTTACTTTTTACAATTTGCTTTGTTACTTTCTAATAAGTATATTTATTGTTTAAGTACACGAATTTCAGTTTCCAAATTGGAAGCATCTAAATCGAATAAAGATGAAAGAAGAAAAATATCATCACAATCGGTTTTTAATTTTAATAAACACATAATTTCTATCATCTTTAACGTTTCTTGATTAAATTTTAACTTTAATCCAGCTATCAAAATTGCATAGCGCAATATTAATTGTCTGTTACATTACAGGTTGGCAATTATGCCTTTAGGTGATTATCACCCACCGAAGTTATAATATGGTATTAAAATACTGTGACACCGTTGCCATTTTATATCCAACTATTTTTAAAGGGTTATTTAGTTACACTATAAAGTATAAGACTTTTAATGAAAATTTTACCTTGCATTTTCTTTTGTAGATTACGATCAATATCAGGCACACCGTCATGACCATGATAATAAACTGTACTGCTAATGATATTTTTTGAAGAAGAGAGTACCATCTTTGCTCCTTTAGAGAATCCCAACTTAAATGTTCTGAAAAAAATTATACAAAATCAATTAAACAAGAAATATTTAATTCGTGAGGGAATCTATGGAATTTTTAGTATTTTATTTTTTAAGTAAACTATGAACAATAAATATTATTTTATTTTTTAAATGTAATATGAATTAGAAGTTCAGAAGTCTTGGAATCTCGTTTTTTTTTATTACAGTTCGGTAATAACTTTGCGCCGAATGTAGGGTGGTACTTATTATTATCTGCAATCAATTAGCTACTCGTATTTATTAAATATAAATTGATACGCAAAACTAAGCACAAAATTTATATTATAAAATGCCCGAAGATATATTTTGCAAGGAAAAAATACACATTATTATCAAAAAAAAAAAAAAACGCCAATAGCTTCGTCTCGTTCGTGTAACATTTTCCTAGAATCCGAAACGATTCTTTTGTAGTACCTAAAATAGAATTGAAGTTGCAACAAAAAAAAGCTAATAAATAAATATTTGCTTTTTTATTAAATTATTGTTGTTATTTTTGTAACAATGTTTATATTTTCAATAATAAAATAATAGACAAACCAAACGTGGAAATGTTTTTAGTACATAATTAAATAATACCTAATAATACACACGATTAGTTCTTACGCCATGCGCTTCTTATCAGACTGTTATCAGTAATAATTTAATTGTACAATTAAAAAGACACATGATATATTTTTGAAAACTTTTATTATATTAAAATAGGAATATTTACATACTAAGATTTGACTATTATTAAATAAGAGATATTCAAATTAGATTTTTCGGAATAAAATAAGTATAAAAGTACATAAACTGTAGATCAGCGGTTCTCAACCTTTTTATAGTCGCTTACCACCTACACCACTTGAAAATTTCTACGTACCACCTGACCATTTTTTTGCTTATTAATAATGTATACGTTTATGTTACATGTATAGAATTTTATTTTATTAGGAATTACAAAATGAGATAATATAAAATAAATATGTATATATAATAAACTATAAAGTAATTAATGCACAAAAAGAAATTAAATTAAATCAAATTAAATATGTAAAATTATTATAATTATTATGGTTTACTTTTTACTTCAATGAGACGATTGGTGTTGTTTTGAACGAACGATGACATCAATATCGGGCTCCAAATTGGTAACTTTAAGTCTTAAATCACTTTCTACGTTTAATCTACTTCTATATTTATTTTTTATGTACAATAAGTCAGAAAATGTTTTTTCGCACAGATATGTTGATACAAAAGGGATTAAAAACTGTAAAGCTTGTGTGGACAATGCCGAGTATTCTTTTTTCACGTCCAGCCAAAAATTAGTGATATTTTTGTTATTGAAAGCGGTTTTTAGGGTAGAGTCACTGGTTAAGTCAATAAATAATTCTTTTGCCAAAATGCCATCTGGAATATTCTTAATATAATCATCTACGAAAGGGTTTATGATCCATTTCATTTCTGAGTTATCCTCAGGGAAATATTGTAAAACATTGGATTTTAGTGATTGTAGGTGTTCCGAAATGTCTGTAATTATATTTGAATTTGGCTGAACTTCGTTATCGTTCCAAAATGTGTTAAGTGTCTCGAATGCTGAAAGATCATTCTTAGATACTTGCGAAATAANCGAATAGTCTGGTGAGGACTTTTCCTCGTGAAAGCCACCTTACCTCTGTGTGGAGAAGAAGAGAGTTATGAGTACTGCCCATTTCGTTACATAATACTGTGAATAATCTTGAATTGAGAGGTCTGGCTTTGATTAGATTTACGATTTTGACAGCACTATCAAGAACTAATTTTAAACTTCTAGGCATGTTTTTGGATGCTAATGCTTGCCGGTGAATCATGCAATGCATAGTTTTACATAATGGGGCAACTTTTTTTATTCTTGTTGCAACTCCGGTCAGCCTTCCAGTCATTGCCCTTGCTCCATCAGAACAAAAACCCACACATTTACTCCACGGCAGATCTATTTCAATCAAATATTCATTAATGGTTGTAAAAATAATTTCTGATGTTGTGTGGGTTTGTAAAGGCTTACAAAACAAAAACTCTTCAATAATTTCATCATTGCGATCGAAACGTATGAATACAATTAATTGAGCCATGTTAGCAATATCAGTACTCTCATCAATTTGTAGAGCAAAGAAATTACAATCTTTCACATAAAGCAATATTTTTTCTTTTATATTCGACGACATGTCATCAATTCTTCTTTTGACTGTATCGTTTGAAAGTGACACTTTTTCTATCTCTTTTGCAGCCTTGTCTCCAAGAACACATCGCACGATTTCTTTTGCTGCTGGCAACACTAATGTTTCCCCAATTGTGTGTGGTTTTCCATCTTTAGCAATAATTAAACTTGCTAAATAAGATGCTTTAACGATATTTTCATTAAAGTTCGTAAAACTAGACATGCATTTCGATTCCTTTCGGAAAATAGTAACTTTTCTCTGAAAAAATTCAATAGGTTTATTTTCTGTTTCTGGATGCTTCGATAATTGGTGGCGCTTAAGTAGCGATGGCTTCATGCTTTGATTCGAAAGTGTTTCTTGACAAATTACACATTGAGGTAACGGAGTAGAATTCTCAGAACCAAATTTTACAACGAATCCAAATTGTAAGTAACTATCGTCATATTTACGATTCGCCTGTGTTTTCTGTTTTTTAGTATTTGAGCTTCCGCTTTCGAAAAATCTTTTCATTTTACTTAATTTTATATCACAAAAAAGTTAGAAAAAACTACATAAAAATGTAAAATTTTAATATAAAATAAACTTGATGCAAACAATTCGTATGACACTCGTGAATAAACTGAAAGAACTCACGAAACTAAGGTAAAAACGCATTATTGTGAATTAAGAATACGCTTTATCGGGTATATTTGATAAAGTTTATCGATTTATATTATATATATATAGAATATCGCTATCTTAATTGCTACGATTACAAACGACCTCCACACCATCAAATAAACCAAATAATATTTAATGATTCATTCCAAATTTTTTTATAAAGAGAAATTTTCTTCGCGTACCACCTATGAGCTTTTCGCGTACCACTAGTGGTACGCGTACCATAGGTTGAGAACCGCTGCTGTAGATTATACCTAAAAGTTTTAAAGTTACTTTACATCACGTAAAATTTTGCGAAGTCAAATTTCACCAACATTAACAGGCGAATTTTACCCCCACATTATTTTTACCTGGGATGGGTAAATTTTATCCACCTTATTATTTTCACCTCGCATACCGTTCGGTTATTTAATGATATTTAATACTTTTGAGGATTTTGTTGATAATTATTTAATATTATATTTCTTGTTGATATAATTACTTAAATTACTATAATTACTATATTAACTATACTATAAAAAGAAGGAAAAACGGGAAAATGAAATGTATTAGTAAAATATTCCAATATTAATTTCTGTGTACAACTTTTCCACTAGCAATTTCACTCCAATTTAGAATGATACCACTTTTTGTAAAAAGAAAACTGATAGTCATTTGGGAAAACCGGGAAAAACGTAAAACTTGGTCCAATACTAAATAAATATTATAAAATAAAATATATAATACCTATTTAAATATTTGACCATGATATAACACATAAATTGTTGACAAAGTATCACTATCAACTTAACACCGCTCAGAATTGTTTTTTCATTAGCAATGGTTTAACAATGCTTATAGGTATACATTTAATTGCTTTCTATATCCTGCCTTTCTATCTACAACAGTGGCTGCACCTGTCCACATTATTCTAGGACAGCTTCTTTATTTTCTAAGTAGTTTTCATTATAATCGGACTATATCGAAAAGAAACGTAGGAAAACGGCAATAACGATTTCATTATTTTGATTTTGTTAATTTGTTGTTATTTTTTTTTAACTAATATTGTCCTCTCTCAAATCCACCACTGCCTTCTCATCACTGTTGAATTATCATTTGTTAATAACAAATATGCATAAAATATTAAAATTTAATAATTCATTGTGAAACAAACAAATATTTTTACTCTCATTGTGTTGCCACACACAAATAGTATCTTTTTCATTTAATTCTCAATGTCACTCGGTCGTATCATTATTTTAAAAGCCTGTACTTTTCTTTTAGTGATAATATCCATTCTAACAATATAATTTATTATTAGGATCTCTACATACGTCCCAGAAGAACAAAATGTTAAAAATGAAATTTGATTTCACTTTGTAATCCGATCGTAGAATTGGACCACTCTCTTTACTTATACATTGATAGGTTTTAATAAATACATACCAAATATAATATGATTGACCCGGAAAAACGTTTGACAACATTGACACAAGAATTGTTTGTGAAATCAATCCACGATAATATTATGGTTCACGCAAATATAAATTAACTGTTATACGTCAAAATCCCAAAATTAAAAAATATTAAGAAAAGAAAAATGTTGATACTGCTCACAAATAGGTTACTATTGTAGATGAATAAGGAAGGTAAGATATGCAGGATAATTTAGTTTTTATACTTCATTAAATGATTAATCATGAAATTTCGGTATACAAATAAATATTCTAAGTGGAGTAGGATTAGTTATGGTTATTCTATTGTTACTAAGGTAACCCAGAGATCAGTAAAAATTGAAAAATAAAACGAACAAGAACGTGAGTTTATACTAGTTCAATGGCGCAACTGGGGGGGGGTGTAGTGGGTTGTGTCCCCCTCTCAGCGAAATATATTTGTGAGTTTTTTACGAATTCTATGTATTACGTAGTTGTATGATTTTCATACCAATTTAAAACATAACGTTGTAACATCGTGTATGAATAAATGATAACAACTATCATCGTAAATATAATTTTCTACACTTAGGAGGCTAAAAACGTATTTAAGAAACACTACAAAACAGCAGAAACTTATTGGAATGGCCACTTTAAACATATATACAGATATTGAAGTTAAACCAGATTCAGTGCTTAATGTTGAGGCACTTTGCTCGAAAAATTAATTTTAGACTGTAAATCTGTATTATTATTAAACAGGATGGGCAATTTAAACCGTCGGGATATTTTTTGGTAATAAATAAAAAAAAAAACACACATTATTAATTTATGAATAAATTTTCGTTTATTTTAGACATGGAAATTTGTGCTGATTACTTTTGAAAAAAAATATCGCCTAAATGGTCACATTCAGAGCGAATGGCGTAATGTGCTCGTTTTTCGCATTTTCAATCACTTTTCGTAGTGTTTCAGGTTGAATAGGGCCATACATAAACAACATTTTTTGTTCTACACCAATGAAAGCCCTCAATTAATCCACGAACAACCTTTTAACAATTAACGCATGATTTTTTGGACCGGAGTTTTTGCGAAAACAATCATTGGTTTTTTTTCGAATGAAATACTGGAGCAGCCGTATCCAACAATGGGGAGCGTTATCGGACCATGAAAACGGATATTTTGATTATATTTCTGACTGATAATGGCATGAACGGCATTGGTCTCAATAAAATAGCACCACAGCCTGCTCTATCTACGTACGCTTTATTGCATCATTTGTTCCTCGGACTTTTAATTTCAAAAAATGATGATTTCGACTGACTTCCGAGATCTTAACGCTTCCAGACTTTTCCTATGGAGTTATTTGAAGTTTAGATTTTATGTCGACAAGCCACAGACACTGAAACATTGAAAGATAATATATGACAGGAAATGGCCGCTTTCAGCCTGAAACACTTCGAAAAGTGATGGGAAATGCCGAAAAAACGAGCAAATTACGCCATTCGCTATGAAGGCGATCATTTACGCGATATTATTTTTAAAAGTAATCAGCATAAATTTCCATTTCTAAAATAAACGACAAATTATTCAAAATTAATAATTTGTGTTTTTTTTTAAAATTATTAACTAAAAACATCCCGAAGGTTTAAATAGCCCAACATGTACTTATGAGTAAAGTATATTTAAATACCTAAATAAAATAAGTCTAAATTGTTCTCCAATATGGGTTGTCTATAAATTAAAGTTAAACAATTTAAAGATTTTACTAATTAAACCTTATCTTCTCCACCCCACCAAAAACCATCTAAAATTGATTTTTTTCAACTTCATACCTCTCTCTCCTTCAAAAATAAATGTTGGTTGCGCCATTGTATACCACTGAAAATTTCGATAAATGAATCAAATAAAGTACTATCGAGCAAACAAATTTAAAATTTAAGATTTTAATAATATCACTAATTTTTGTTATTCATAGATCTTAAATGTGATTCTTCATATCGACAATGAAATTGTATAAACTGAGTCTTTATTATGCATGAGTATATTTGTAAAAAACCAAACTCTTTTACCTTAGATCATTAATCGACTATCGAGTTGATAATTGATCGACTCGATAGTCAATACACTAACAGTGCAATAGTTTCCATTTTTGGAAAAAGAAAATATAATGAAAATAAAATAATAATATCCATAATCATTATATTTTTTTTAGAAATAATATTAATTTATTCCTAAGTTAAGAACAACATTCGCTTAGTCTGGTCCATATATATATTTTTTAAATTCTGTATTTAATTTAATTTTAATATTTTGTACTTTTATAATCTAAAACGTTTTATAAAATTTGTTGTTGCTATTATTTATGGTAATATGTAATGAAATTACTCTAAAATCATAAGTTTATTATGTTAATTGAAGAATTATCTGGATTAAACGATTGTCTTAATTAACCGATGATTCTATTAAGTAAAGTTTACTATAATAATATAAAATAATTAACTACATATTTGATGAGGAACTTCTTTATATAGAACATTTAGAGTACAATAGAAATGAAAACTTGGATAACCCTTTATAAAGTAAACAGAAGTTAATTAACATAGGTTGATTAGGTAATATTATTATAATTTATTATTACATTTTACTGTAATCTTTTTCGACGTCAGTTCTTTTCCTTTGTTACTTGGTCCGTTTTGAATCTTATTTTCAATGACGAATCTTACATGTCATATATGTTAATATCGGCCGATTTTTTTAAATTTCGATAAAATTAGTCCTTATTTTCTCGTTCGACAATAAATTGGTTTCATTTTGACAATTTATGAAAATCGGAACGTCAAATAAAATTAAAAAAAAATGTCAAATAATAACAGATTATCAAATTAAATAATATTACCAGTTACTTATCACATTTCATAATAACCAATGAGAATGTTGGAGTTAAGTTAACCGTTTTGGTAACCCGACTAGCATTTAGTTAACAAATTTAATTTAACAATAATACCTAATGATATTGTGAAATTTACTTAATTTAACGAGATTTTAAATTTAAAATATATAATTGTTAACTAACATTGTGTTTCGTACGTTTTCCCGTTTTTTTCCGGGTTTTCCAATATAAAGCGAAGACTCCTGAGAAAATCAAAAAACTACCTCCCCAAAGTACCTTCCCAGTCAAATTTCTTTTCAGAAAAAGTGCTATCATTGAAAATTGGAGCAAAATTGCTGGTAGAAAAGTTGTTCACAGTAAATAGAAAGACCGTAATTAGTAGTGGATCTAGAAGTCATCCAAGGTGGAGGCGGATAATTATCAAAACTTAATTTTCTTTTTTCTATTTAATCTGTAGTGGAAGATAATTATTTGTATTATTTTTATAAATTTATAAAACGAATGGTATACAAGTACAGTATACGACTTTATACTGTATACTATAC